TTGTAGATCCGATCTCCAAGGTCTAGACGTTGGATCGTGTTTTGCTTGATCGATTTTTTTTTTTCTTACCCCTCATGCGGGGGACACCCCAATGCCAATTGAGCATGGACATTTCTATCGTGAGGGTAAAGTAGCAGACCCTGACCGGCAATGCGGCATCCACGGAACCCAGCTGTCAAAGGTGTCAATTGGCATCACCACGCCATTTTCATCCCATCCATGGTTATGCAGTGTCAATTATTCAAATGACAACTCCCAGACTGTAACCCACTGCGGTCCTCAAACCATGACGACAGCATTGGAGAACAAGAGGGGGAAACAAGCCTCTGAGGGGAAAGCAAAACACGCGCGAGGGGGAATCTCGGCTACCGGTCGGCAATGGCTCGGACCGACGTTCGGCATTGGCTCGACCACCACCAGCTGCAAAAAATACTCCTCAGTCTGGCCGGAAATCAATTCCTTGTCTATAGTTCCCCTCACCATCGTATGCACCTGGATACTGCTCGTCTGGCATTGAATTGGAGAATTGACTCATTTGAGACATAGAAGAGGTCTAAGTTGGCTGATTCGCCATGGACGTCACAATCTGCGGCTGCTGGCAATATATATACGGGCTGCCCAGCAACTGCTGGACAGACAGATCAAAGCAGCCTTTTCTGAACACTCTTATACTGTGAACCCCAAGAACAGTTGATCGCTAAAACCTCTCTCAAGATGTCCAGACCAGTCTACACCCTGGCAGAAGGTCCCTCCCTCGATCCTACCCTCAATTCTATATTCTAACCCAGCCAGGCCAACCCATCCCTGACCCCTCCGTGAGCACCACCCTGCCTACCATTGGCGGCGGAGGCATCACAACCCTAGGAGACACCCTTCTCCTCGAGACTCTGGCTCACTTCAACCGTGAGCGTATCCCAGAAAGGTACCTTCCGTTCCTTCACCTTTTATTTCCCTATCCTAGCCCAAACTAAGCTAATCAACCGTTCCTCTGCAGAGTCGTCCACGCGAAAGCAGCTGGCGCATGGGGGGAATTCGAAGTGACGAACGACATATCGTCCCTAACCTCCGCTAAGTTCCTCAACAGCGTCGGGAAGAAAACTCCCGTTTTGTTTCGTCTCAGCACGACGGGTGGTGAAAAGGGTAGTGCGGATACTGTGCGAGATGTGCGTGGATTCTCGGTCAAGTTCTTCACCGAAGAGGGGAACCATGATATTGTGGGAAATCACATTGTAAGTATACGTACCTTGTTATGTTATGGGAAGAAGGGATCATAAGAGATGTGTGTGTTTGTGTGCTAAGTGATGACAACAGCCCGTCTTCTTCGTCCGGGACCCTATCCGCTTCCCTTCTCTGAACAGAAGCCACAAGCGCCATCCTGCCACAAATCGTCCGGATTGGACTATGGTATGTCCTTTACCCTCTGTTCACACATCTGCTCCCTATCCACCACCCAAGAACTAACCATTCCACCTTCCGGGGTACCACAGTTCTGGGACTTCCACGCCAACCAACCCGAAAGCGTCCACGCATTGCTCCATCTCTTCGGCTCGCGAGGCATTCCAGGCTCCATCCGATCCGTCACTGGCTTTGGCGTACACACCTTCAAGCTCGTATCCCCCGACGGCACTTTCCATTACTGCAAATTCCATTTCCGGCCTGAGCTCGAGGGGAAATATTTCTCTGTACAAGAAGCCGCCCGGATGGCTGGGGTGGATGCTGATTTCCACAACTTGGATCTGTGGGATGCCATTGCACGGGGGCAGTATCCTGTTTGGAAGCTGTATGTGCAGGTTATGGAGCCTGAGAGGGCAGAGGAATTCGGACGGGGATTGTTTGATATTACGAAGATCTGGTCGCATAAGGAGTTCCCGCTCATTGAAGTGGGCAAGATGACCTTGAATAAGAATGTAAGTTATATCTGTTTGCTAATTCTGGGCGGAGCTTCGGGGAGGGGTGGAATGCCGTATGCTAATGTGGGAATAGCCCGGGAATTACTTCGCCGAGATCAAACAGGCGGCGTTCTCGCCATCGAACATGGTCCCTGGGATTGCTGGCACGCCTGACCCAAGTAAGTTTGCATTGCGTACTTACTGATATGCTTTTTCCTTGATTCTGTTTTTGTTTTCGTTGGTCATGTCTCCCTTGGCTCGAGCATACCTATCTGCGGATTTGTGTAACATGCATTGATATCCCTGGCTTTATGTAGTGTTACAAGCCCGCATGTTCGCCTACCCCGATGCTCAGCGCTACCGCCTTGGGGTCAATTACACCCAGCTTCCGCCTAACCGCGCTGTTTGTCCTGTCTACGCGCCCTATGAGAGGGATGGCTTCGCCACAGTGACGAAGAATTATGGCGGTGACCCAAACTATGTGCGCAGCTCGCTTTCTCCCGGTGTTGCGAGTCGCAGCAACGCCCAGGTACGACACAATGAGCGGATTCTGTCGTTCGCGTTAGGCCAGAATGAGATATCAGTTGACGAGGAAGACTTCGTTCAGCCACGAGACCTCTGGAATAGGGTCTTTGATGAGACGGAAAGGCGAAAGTGGATTGCGAATGTTGCTGAGACGCTGGCTGAGGTTCCCGAGCCGCTCAAGGAGGCCGTGGTGAATATGTTTGGGAGAGTCGATGGTCGCTTGAGAGAGATGTTAGGAACAAAGGTCAGGGATTATTCGCGGCTGTAGTGGTAGAGCGGCTGTGATGTTTATGAATGTCTGGGTTGCTAACAGCTCAAGGGCAAAGGAAGTTGTATGTTCGATGGCTATCTATTCCTATTTCAAAACCTTGTTAGCGTCCCAATTTGAAAGCTGATAAGTAAGGATCCAGGTCCAAGGCCAACTGCAGTAGCATTGCACGTGGAGATTTGCCTCTGGTCTGTGAGGTTAGCCACGGTTTCTCGGGAAAGGGTTTCCGTTGATCTCCGTTCTTCAGTCACCCTGAATACCCTAGAAGAGCTTTGTTCGCGTCCTACGTGGTTAGCTGCTCGACAAAGCCGAATCTCTGGCATGGGATGACTGGGAAGTCTCCAAGTCAAGGGAAAGAAATTTACTCTGGAGCTTGCTTGTTACTCAGCAGTGAGTGTCCGTGAGCACACCACGTGGTCTGATGGATTTCCTGATTGCATATTTTCTGGCCTGATGACCCCCAAGGGACGGTACGGTAAGCGCCCAAATGACAACAATGTGCTCGAAGCCTCCAACAGGACTGCGGGGCAAGCTCAAGTGACAGGTCCGACGGCCAGATCCGCAGCTCCGTCGTTGCAGAACTCATATGTGCTCGGTTGGTGACCTAGGGGACAATTATGGAGGTGATAAGCGAGGTGGGACTGGAGATGTTGGAGACGAGGATAGCCGACGTGATCATCGCGCCGGGTCCGAAATTTGCCGGATTTGGCATTTCTGGCAGGATTGCAGACAATTATCTGTGCGTTAGCATTATGGTGCCCAATTTGGTGGAGGAACGCAAGGAACTGTCTTGTAGATGCTGAGGTGAAGCTGCTGCGGATAGTGCGTTTGACCGTTTGGCAGTCGCGGAGTCGATCGACGTTGAATTGGGGTTAGCAGATGTATGAGATATCCGGATTCAAGTGGAAAGGATGTGCAGCTCTCAGAGCCAAGATCTCGGGTACGAAGGTTTAATCGATTAAACAATACAAGGGAAAGACAAGACTTATTTGGAGAAGGTGAGGCAGGCGGAACCCTTCATGACGGGCAGGTCCCACGACTACAACTAGTGGCATTGCGAACCATGGGTCCAGGGCCTTGAAGTTCCACTGATGACACGGCAGTTGCACAACGGTCAACCAGCTGTAGAAAATCTCTGAATCAGACGGGATTCCTCCTGTTTTATGATGTTGAAGTCTCTCTAGTTCTATATTGGCGAAACAGCCCTTGGAAGAAGTCATGTAATATCCATGTTATGCACACTGAAGCACAGATCCGATCAAACAGCTTCCACCATAAAATTGCTTGAAACCCCCCATGCCGGATAGGCGTGGACAAGACGTGTAGCCAGAGCAAGACCCTGGTATCGTGTAAACATTTAAGGTTGGAATATGACAGCTCATGAGAGGCCAGCAGATACAATTAGGGCCAAAGTGCTAGCTCATTCGGATCGGAAATTCAACTAGCTACATAATCACGCAATCAATCGTGCAATTGGAGGCGAGCGGAATAATGGCGCAGGTTCGATTAAGCGAGCTCCCTAGTACGATACCAACCGAGTAGCCAGTGCGCCACCTCCGGCTATTAGCGATGGGGTGTCTATGGTTCGGAGTCTAATCAATTAGGCTCATGCGTTTTAGCATAGCATGGTCTTCACCGCAAAAGACCCTCGTCGATGGAGAGAGAATCGTTTCTCAAAGTGGTTACGAGCCAGAAAAATAGCTGAGTAGAGCTGAATAGCATCCTGGATTGCTGGAAAGAGAAGAAAAACGCCGGGACTGTGTCGGAAAGCAGTCGTGGTTCCCTCGGTCAACTCTCGTTTTCTTCGCAACATAAAAGGCTACCCGTGGAACCCTGGAATGGAGGATCATAAACGCGCCTATACATAAAAAAATACGTACGTGGCTCTGCCCTTCAACTACAAATGTTGGTTGAACTCCTTCTTTTCCACGTGCCACAACTTCCCGGTAATAACGACGCATCATGTGGAATATCCGGGATTACGGATACTATTTCCACCAGAGGAATTTGTGGGACGAACAGTGTGACCTTGGATCGCTTTGGCTTGGTGAGACATAGCTCTCTCACGTACATATATAGCCCATTGCTAACTAGATAGCGGCTACGGAAGCACATGGAACGCAATCGTGGTACCGGTAGACCCCAATCTCTTCCAAGCTTTATGCTTCTCCAGCCATATACTCCTTGACCACTGCGTCAGAAACTCGAGCACACGGTCCTTACACATACCAGATGCTGCCCGAAAGAAGATGATCATTGTGAGCCGGACTCATGGGACCAGTTGTAGTTTACACCTGGATCTGGTAGGGCCCAACGCAATGGCGCTGGAGGTACAAAATGCATCCGGGACCGGACCGTCCACTGGACCCAGATCTCATTACCCAATAGGGTAATACTATTCGGCCAATAAGAGCTCCAGTGGATGGCTTTTAGGACTAGTTCGAGTTGTGAGTGTTGACTGGCGCGAACTTTTGAAGCCCCTCTCTAAGGCTGCAAAGGGACCCCCTCCCCGTCAGCTTGATCGTGAGACCCCAACAGCTGCATGTAATCTGATATTTTCGACCTTGAAATTCCCCAATATCAGACGATCTGCCGGCCAAGAAAGTCTAGTAAGTGCCCATCCCGCACTAACCTTGGTCATCAAGCGCGTCCACATACCCGGGGGATGGCTGTCAGCCATATCTGAGCCCGGCCACCCAAGCCACGACTGTGTCCACTACGGGAAAAGAGGGCAGGAGAGCATGCAGAAGTACCTTAGGTTATCCTAATCATGCTTACTTCCGTTTCAGATGTACAGGGATTCGGGCAGCACCCGATCCCCGGTCCACGAGAGATGGGCACGTAGTGTCGTTCACTGCTGTTGAATCCAGATCAAACCACGTCACTCCGTGCATTCGCCAATCCCGCCTCTACCCCCTTGTCAAAGCCTCAAGCCAACTCCCAGTCACCTAAAATCCTCGATTATGCCGGGAAAGCGATCTTCAGCAGCGTCCTCCTAGATTTATCTGGCTCTTACAGCCACCTGTTATCAGCTCCACACGGCATGACCTACCCATCGACAGCAGCAACATGAGCGAAGACCAAGACTCGGATTCAGCAACAACTGAGTACCAGTTTGTTTTTGGTACAGACCAACCAGGCGCCCGCAGCCATGCGATGCGACAGTTCTGGAGAAGGAGGCACCAAGCCCTCCAAAATTCCCCTCAAACTATTCGACCTCAGCTTAGAACACTGCTCCCGAAGGATTATAGCTCAGAGAGCAGAGGATACCAGCAGGACGTGTCCCCAGGTCAGACCCCTGATCCACAAGCGGAGGAAGGTCAACCAGGCTCTGCCTACGCGAGGATTTCAGATTCAGACGTCAGTCATGCGCAGCAGTCCTCGATCATTCAAGGACCTGGCCCGAAGTTCCCAATAGATCTGTCGGCTAAAGACCAAGAGATCTTTTCGTCATGTGAGTAGAATGCCGGGAGGAAAAAACGATGCTCTCCAGGCAGCTGATGTCAAGATCTATTCAGGGCTCGATTTACATGCTAGTTTTGGCCCCGGCTTGTCACAGAGTACCGGGTTTGACCCCGTACGTGATGTCTGGTTGCCTTTGGATCTGTCGAACAGTGCCTCGTTCTGCGCTCTAATGGCTCATGCGGCAGCTCATGCAGCCCACCGTCAAGGCCAGACAAGGTCGATAGGATCGGAAAAGTTTAGAACCCTGGCTGTGGGCATCATTGCAAAATGGCTGGCCGATGAAAGAAGATCGACACAGGATGACACGATCACGGCTATTGCACGTCTCTTGATGTTCGAGGTACGTATTTCCAAACCAGAGCCTGTATTGAAACACCCATGATTCTCACCAGAGTTTTACTATTCGCAATTCAGAAATATTGGGCCATCGATGATCAATGGCGTGCCCATAAAAATGGCCTTGTCAGCGTTATCAATGCAAGGGGTGGTGTAGAGAGTTTCCGGTCAAGTTGGCGTCTTCATATGGTGTTGTTCCTGTAAGTGCTCATAATGTTCATACTAATATCAATTGCCTTTGGGCGCTAATCAGAATTATGAGTACATAGGGCGTTCTCTCTGGCAGAGCCGTCAAGAAGTTCCTCCCCAGCGCATGGCTGGGAAATCTCAGAGTACTTTTTTCCCGCCACCGTTCATCCAGCAATCGAGCTTCGACTACATCAGGTTAACCCCAAGGCCTCCCAAGGGCTAAGCCCCTACCCTGATATCCATGAAACGATAACATTCCTGGCGAGTTCCTCAAACGTATCGCTAAACGCATCGCCCAATGTCCAAGATCGCACGCTCCTCTGCTTATTAATACTTGCTGTGATATTCCAAGAGTCACTCTACTCGTCGTCCCCGGAACTCGGTCGCTATTTCACCGACAAACTGGCAGTACTAAATGAAGCGCTGTCTAAGAGCAAGAATATATGGAAACGCTCCTCGCACGAGCTATATGAGTTTCTGATGGGGGATCATTTCGATCTTCTGCTCAGCCCCTCAGCTCGCAGTTTCATCACCAAGGTGGCCCAAAACCTGGTTTATTTGAATGAGGACGCACAGGCCGCTGTCGCAAAATGCCTTCTCAACAGAGTTCTGTGGCAGAGCCAAGATGTGAAGGCTGATACAAACTTCCAAAGTGATGGAACGCTCTAGCAATAAGCCGAGTGAGAAGCTTCTCCATGATCCTGGATGGAAGACGATCGAGCGGCTCCAAGCCGAGTGTGATGTCTGTATTGTATAGTATAGACAAGAACCACTGCACTAGCGCCTGCAGTTGCTAGCAGACAATTTCTCCTCATTAGCATTACTTCAACCCGTACTTAACTCTCCATCAGGTAAGGTCGTCAAAACTATGACCTTGTCATACACATCACTCAGGGAACACTAGGCCTCCAAAAATGAATATGCCCTACATATTACCAGTTTACGAGTTGAGCAATTGCATTTTTGCTTCTTATGGGCAATCATTGTAGCAAACCACTCCCTCACTCACGATATTCTGGTAAAATCAAAAGCTAAATTTACCCCATCATAGGCGAGACCGCCACATCCTCACACCCCCTATTCTATGCACAATGACATCAATTAATTGAAAATTACTGAATACTTATCATAACTTTCAATCTTGACTCCGAGTCTCGGGTCAAGATGATCTCTGTAAATGCTTGTCTGCATGTCTCCGCCGAACCGCTCTATTCCAATCATGGGCGAATATAGGTGCCAAGAAACCCAGTCTCGCATACCGATGCATGTAAGGAGTGGGAAGCATGCAGGAACCCAAGATACCAGTGTTACATGGTTAGATTTGTATTTAATCGAGTTTAGTACATAGTAACCGCGCGATAAAATTTGTGATCTTCGTGATTGATATGACTAAGATAGTCGCTCACAACATGTTCCCTCGCATCTAATTCCAAAAATACAAGGCGTACATGTACCTTTGCATGCAAAATTCAAGTTCTATTTTGTAGTCCGTCCCCCCTAACTAGAAAGTTTAATCCCGATCTACTCACTGTAAGGATCGGAATAGATTCCCGAGCTTACCCCGACTGCTCTCCGAGAATTTCCGAATTTGGTTCCGCGTCCGTCTCCGTATCCGACACTAAAACGCGCATTTTCTGTTTCTGGCACGGATTGAAATGATGGTGGGTGAGTAATATATCTAGTGTAGTTTATATATATTATACTAGAACATCAATATAGAGCGAAATGAGGGCCAATTTTTGAGTGAGACGGTGGGGGTGGAGGGGAGTTAATGGTAGTAGGGAAGCGGGGCTTTTTTTAGGGGGATGTTGAGTTCTGCTTCTATTTGGGGAGAAATAGACGATATCTAATAAGGAGGTGTTTGATGATAAGAGAACTAATTCACTAATATCATTGAACGAAACAAGGCTCAATAAGAATCCACATTAGACGACTATTTGGCTTGTTTTGGGTATAATCACAGATTGATTCGTCTTGAACAGAATCTTCACAGTACATATCGCAAGTACAAAAATGCTAGAATTTATCCGTACTCAACAGATATCTCCAGTCTAGCTCGAATATCATTCAGGCTTTTCCTTCGCGGGCCCTGCATAGTGAAGAATACTGAACGCAAAGTTCGGATGGTCGCTTAGTAGCGTGCAAAAGCTGCCACTGCATCTGAGATTCTCAATGTGATAAGCTGCGAAATGCGCAAAATACTAAAGCAACGGGTTGCTCTCCTTGAACTTGGAAAGAGCCAGCCGAACAGCTGGAATAAAAGCCATTGACATATGTATCCAGCTGTCTCCCATCCCAGCCATGGTTTTCTTCATATGTTTGACTGCAAGGCTTCCTAATTCCGGAATATTGTATTTGTCGCAAAACAAGTAGAGGTGGATATCGTTGAGAATTGAAGCAGCTACTTTGCATTCGGCGGATTCGTCGTGGTTGGCTGCGCATTTGATATCACTTTTCTGAAGGTCGTTTCTATCGGGGTATTCCCTTGTATATGCCCATCCGACGAGAGCAGAGAGTGTTCTGGCCTGTGTGTCTATGCAGACATAAGTGGATGTTGCTTTCTCTATATAGGACTGGTAAAGAGAAAAGCACTTGGATTTGAGAAGTCCCGTGTGAATTTTGAATTGTATCTCAGAATCTTTTGTGCTGAGAATGATCATTCTGGTTTGAAGGAAGTCCGTAAAAGGGCCCTCCGAGTAGGCTAATATCGGGAACAAATGTCAGTGATTCCGCTGAAGCAACGTGCCAGACTCCTTCTCAGAGTCCACATGCCCGTCGGATGAGTACATTGACTAACCAGACATGTGTCTCTTATCGGCAACATCTTCAGCAAACGTTCCTTTACGTTTCTGTGTGGTATGTGGAGTTTGACTCATTGTGAAAGACACAATCGAATCCAATACTTGACTACTCTTTGAGAATGACGACGGAAGAGCAGGGAGGAAAGGGGAGAAGTAGAGATGAGAGTAGATGAGGAGCAGGATACAAAAAGTGAGAATTTCGTCTTCCACCATAACTTTTCTGCAGCCATTCACTGTCTCCTGTTCCTTGGGAGCTTTCCAAAGAGCGCTGTGTCGTGAAAGATATGCTTGCCAGTAACACTGCTGCGTAAATGGCACATTCTCACCTCTCATTCACTTTGTGCTCTAAGGATTCCGTGAGCATTGGCGCATTGGCTCATTGTACCTATACCAACGTCGAGCATAAGTTGCAGTTTCGGATTGCTTAATCCTCTATTAGTATGATAGTTATACCTCGTTCTGCTTTGTATAACCTTTCCCAAGGCATGGTATTCGCTTCATGCTTTAGTAGCAGGCAGCCTCGGTTGTACGAAAGCAAATCCATGCAAGTGAGGTCTCCTGGTTGGGTCCGGTGCTTGTGTCTCCCTACGTATGATGTCTATCTGAATCAACACTTCTAAATGATCATACTATTCGTCTGGCCTCTCCGGTTCTGGACCTCGCTTGTGAAGCGGACGCAGTTGTGTGGACATAACTGATGAATGAGTGTACAACTGACTCAGCAATGAACTGAAGACTACATAAGTGATCTATTGCCTCAGGCAGCAATAGGTATATGGCCTTGACCGAGTTTTTGTATTTTGCGTGGATCGCCTTCAACGTGCGGGTGCCTACTTGGGTCCCACAGTGTGAGCCGAGGTTCTTGGCAATTTCAATTCAGCGAGTCACAATCCCCTGCAGATTCACTATGCAAACAAGCATAATATCAAAGCTTGGCGATCAATGGCGCTGGAGTGTCAATCCGGAACGGTGCGCGGTTGAGGCGCATCTTTGGCATGCTGCAACCCTATCACGAATCTTAAATTTCCTACCCATCGGCTGTGCCGACATGACCATAAGCTTAAATTTTGCATTGCACTCGGCCGAGTCATAGGCAGCAAGCTACGTGGCCCTTGGACTTGCTGCAACCCGCTCGAATCGTCGAAATTGTCGGACGGTGATGTCATGGCATTATTCAGCATGGTGGGGTTGCATTAATTCACTTTTAAGCTCGTGTCGCAGCTCCGGGCAGGCTGGCGATTAGGAGCATCCTGGGTTCACTTGATATAAGTCAAAATCTTCAAAAATGGCCAATAATAAGGTTGACGTCACTAGATCCTCGGACTTGGACGAGGCAACGGGTATGTCAAGCCTTTCTGCAAGAGATCCGAGGACAGTATCATGACCATAACATTGGATAGGGGGACGGACGGAGGGAATGGTTCGGAAGGGAGCTATCATCGACAAGTCGGATCAGTTGTGCGCACTAGGTTGGTTGAGTCCCTTTGCCAGGGGTTGAATGTTTCTAATACAACTTCTGCCAGTCATGTGCGCCGAGCCACATTCCTGCTCAGCTGTTCACCATCACGGCGAGCAGGATACCGTGGTTTACGCCGCAAAGGGCCACGGTTCCATTGTCTTCGATGGGGGAAAGCAGCGCAAAGACCTCTCCCCGGGTGACTTTGCTATCATTCCTGCGTAAGTAGTAAGGCACTAACTAATATAAGTTCGTGAACTGACTCGGAGCCTACCTGTGTGCAGCTACACGGAACACCAGGAGATGAACCAATCAGATGAAGATGTTGAATGGGTGATCACCAGAGCAGGACGCAAGCCCATCACAGTCAACCTGCAAGGTTGGTCTAATACTTCTAGCTGAGGGCTGGACCTTACCCGTTGATGCACCGTGGGTGCTTTGTGTGTTAGTTGTATACATTAGCGGATGCTTTCACCTTTGCGTCTTCAGACCTTTGTAGCAATCCAGACATTCCTATACAACCTCATTGATGGGCCACTTCGCGCCTGGGATTGTTAAAAGCTTTTTACGTCTTGGTACTCCCAGATCATATGTAGCCCTTGATGAACAGAACGCAATAGGCATATAGAACAAAGCCTAGTACGTACCTGAAACTGTTGACGATGGACGAAACCTACCCTTACTGTCAAGTACTTGGGATATATCCCCAATTAATAAGGATGGTCCCAGTAACATACAACGCTATTCCCTGCCTTCGGGGAAAGCTCCGATGAACTGTTGCAGGAACTTGGGTAGTGAGGGCGAAGGGATTCCAATAGTCAGGTGACCCTAGAGGATTTTATCCATGTGGGATCCATTTCAGCACTTCCTCACCTTCCTATACTCTCATAATGCTACTGTTGCATTCTATATACTACATTCCTTTCTGCTTCATCAATACCACTACCAGCAGATGCAGATATTCAAGATATGTATACAAAACTTGCTTGTCTGCACAAAACAACTTCTTCAACCAAGCAGCGCGATCATGACATTCCCTGCTACAGCCACAAGCTCAAAGAAATCCAAACATCCCATAGCTTGGTCAGGTGGTCCAGATTACTACGAAGGCCCCTGTTCAATGCTCATCGTCTGCAAGATGCTTTTCAACCTGTTCCCCTTGTATACATCCTGGAACATCATGCGCCGTCGACCATCTTGTCAGGAAATGGAACTTTTGCCAAACCCCTCACTAGCCATGACACTATGCAAAGTGAGATGAGCCTTCTCAAATGGTCATATAAAGATCTCAAGTAGTTGGTATTGGTTGTTATGCGATATGGCTATCCTGGGCTGCGCTATGGTTAAACTTCGAATCTCTCACAAGCGAGAGGCTACGCCTGGTTTTTGATCATCGGCTTCATTCAACCCTGACCTCCCCACCACACTGAGTTGGCAGGCGATGGGATTGTTTCTACAAGCTTTACTGGATAGCTCTTCCTAAGCAACGGTGGGCTAAAAACAACACACGCCTATTTCGGTTACGCAAACGATAACTTATCTTGCAGAATGCCACAAGGAGCTACATCTTGATTCAAGTCTTGATGGAGGAATATCTACAACCGACATATGGCAGAGCATCTTCCATTGGTGGGAGCCTGGCCTGTCAGACGAAGTGTGACGATCACATCCTTCAAGTCAGGGACAACAGTCAGCGCAGACTTTATTCATCATTGTTACGATCCTTCCGGCGATTAAAGGGATTTCGTCCATTTCATTATGAGTGTAAATTCAACTACATTCAAGGAGCTCCTTTTACCCCTCGATTAAAGAGGGAGCAGCAAAGTCAATTTTGCCAAGACCATAAGCGCAGCCGTCCTCGGTTGCTGCTCAATTTGAGTGTGATTTTTACGACGCCCCCAATTACTGTCATATGCGTTTACTCCATGCAGGCCATAGTGTGGATATAAACTCCTGTCCGGCATGTCCGACAATACCTATGTCAGCTCGACACCACGCTTCTGCTTCGACAAGGCGATGGACGAAAGCCCTCACTCGGCCGTCGGATCTTCCGAGTACTGGATCCACTTTGTTAACGAAACGGTTTGCGGATAGTGATGGTATAGCGCATCCGTGCACGCAACGGCATTGGACCGTTGCTGTTTTCAATATCCAAGCGAACGGGCTAAGACGGCTGACAGGTGGGCTAAATGCGGACCAGCCCAATCATTCGCCACCTCAATAACGGCATAGATGGCCTTTGAAACACATTGACTCGTATTGAAGATCGCACCCTGTTGAGAGGAGTCGAGACCTGGGGCGCGGCACACCTCGGTAAGTGAGAATCGTGGCCCTCTTTTCGAGGCTTTCCCCACGCTGCCTGAACGTACGAAGCAGTAAATCTTCTGGCACATTTCAATTATTTACATTCGCAAAATGGCTTCAGCTCCCACTATCGTTCTGGTACCTGGCGCGTGGTGCACGCCAGTCGTCTATGATACTCTGCGTGCTACTCTAACCTCGCGTGGTTTACCCTCGACGGCCATCGCCCACCCCTCCATTGGTGCGGAGCCACCCTCGAAGACTCTGGCCGATGATGTTGCCCACTTGCGGTCTGAGTTAGTCTCATTGATCGACAAGGGGAAGGACATCATATTAGTGCTACATTCATACGGTGGAGTTGTCGGATCTGGGGCGGTAGAAGGGTTGGGCAGTGCAGAACGCGCGCAACAGGGAAAGCCTGGTGGAGTTATCATGGTAGTGTACATGAGCGCGTTTGCCATACCAAAGGGAAAGAGTCTGCTGGATATGCTGGGCGGCCGGTTCTTGCCGTTCATGAAGGCGGAGGTGAGTTCAACATCATCGCGAATTTGCAGCTTTGACCTTACATGATTCAGGGTGATTACGTGCACTGTCTCGAAGGAGCTGAATACGGTTTCCACGATATCCCACCTGTTGACAGGGAACTGTGGACATCCCGGTTGACACACACTTCTATTGCGGTATTCTCCGGTGCCTCGACCTTTGAGCCCTGGCATGTCACGCCGACCGCCTATATCATCTGCGAGGAAGATCGGGCACTTCCGCCGCCAATTCAGGAACAGATGGCAGAAATGCTGAGCACGAAGTGGATCTATCGGCTGAAAAGCTCCCATTCGCCGTACCTGAGCATGCCAGACAAGGTGGCGGATATTCTCGAGGAACTCGCGGGCAAGGTTTTGACTAGTGGTGCGGGAATCGCCGCAAATGTGTGAACTGCATAAACCTAGAATACTTTTTTCCCAAAATTATAAATAGGACGTAAAATCTGCCAGTCTCAGTTTCCAATCACAGAGCCACCATCTTAGACATAGAGAGCACAAGTCACACGGGTCAGTTGCCTGCACAATGCCTCTTCAACCTCATCAGCACTACCACGAACAACTCAGCCTCCGTGGGGCGCCAAGGCAAGGCTGCAGCAATGCTCGGGAAAATATAAATATAGCAAGATCCTCCGAAGTAATCCCCAAGACAGTTACTATCTGTCTGGAACCACATCATCCATAATCATCATGATGCCACCTACAACATCCCCTGTTCCTCACATCCACCTTCTCTGCATGGACGAACAGTTCATCCATGCCTTCCAATCCGTCATGTCGACGGCCACCACATCTCCCCAATTTCCCAAAATCACTTTTCACAACTGTTCCCTCTCCTACCTTCCCCCAAGCATTCAATTCGACGCCATCATCTCCCCCGCCAACTCCTACGGCCGGCTAGACGGTGGCTTCGACGACGCCATCTCACGTGCCTTTTCCCCAACGACAGACTACCTCGCGTTGACCCGGCACACGCAGGGGATTCTCTACCGCGACTATCGGGGCTATTTACCTCCGGGATCATGTACCCTCATCCCCATCCCGGAGGAGTTTGGCCCTCGTTCGAAGAATGTCTGGGGAACAAGGTATTTGGCGCTATGTCCGACCATGAGAGTGCCGCAAAATGTGCGCTGGGATCGGGAGATTGTGTATGAGTGTATCTGGAGCTTGTTGTGCGCTGTCGACAGACATAACTGGGACGTCGAGAGGAGAACAGATGGAGCAACGAGGATTGATAGCCTCTTGATGACCCCGTTTGCGACGGGGTGTGGGCTTGTCTCGCCTGAGAAGTGGGCCAGGCAGATGGTTCTGGCTCTGAATCATTATATCGATGCGGTGCAGAACCCAGAGAAGTGGTCTAATTTGGATCTGGGTCAGGCCATGGAGTATTCGAATGAGGTGGCGAGGACTTGGGAGTTATAGTCGGATATTGAGAGGTGTATATTTGACGCCCAAGGAGGCGATAAATGAAGAAGATGATGAAGATGCATTTGGCATGTGGAAATAAAATCTTCGCACTCCGTTGGGGGTGTATAGCTGGAGACAATAACTGGCAAGAGGAAGCCAGATAAAAACGATAATGAAACCGCTGAATTGGGTGTGTGGAGATGATGTGTTCAAGCTTCATCATTCATTGATGGCATATAATCAGAGATCCTCATCGGCAGGAGGAATCTAACAATAAGACTTGGTACAGACGAAGAAAAACTCGTCAGTCTGTGTGAATAAGGCGTTCACATTCACCTCTAGATGAAGTATATTTAAAAAAGTATCAAGGAGAAGAGGAATCATTGTGAGGATGATGAAGATGCACTGGGCCTGTGGGGATAAGATGTTCAGCCTGCTGTCGGAGCTGTAAAAGACATATCTGCTCAAATCAGTGGTCGATACTCTTTATCAGCGCGCCGATTGCGGTGGTCCTGTTTAATGGGAATCACCTTGACACTATGAAGGAGGTAACTTGGCATTCTCTGAATACGAGACTGTCTGGCAATGTCTTGGAAACAACATACTATTCAAAAGTACCTGGGGTCAACTCACTCAGATCACGAACAATGGTCTACTATGATATTCAATATGGGCTCTATTACCGGCAAGTTCCACTGTCGATACATGATCAACATGACCAGACCGAAACACATTACGCAGACTCAAAGTTCAACTACACGAGGAGGATTCGACTTCTAACGATATTTGAGAGCGTGGATATGCTTCTTCAGGGACACCAAGCACAGATGACTGCTGTCTCTCGGCTGTCGCCGGTTACATCTGTCTCAGTATTCCAGCTACCATTGCCCTGGGTCCCTCAAAACTCATCCAGGCTGAAGCCGACGGGATACTTCCATTAGGCACCCCAGAAACGGTGGTTAATTCCAATCCACTTACTTCATGCGACGACGAAGCTATCCCACCCGCTGTCCCCCCATCGTTTTTGGCAGCCCTCAAACTCCCTACTCCAGACCTAACAGAGCAAATTCCCTTTCCCATCCTGCCTATATCACGGCAACTCCCAAGACAATGTCCCCATAGCCAATCAACCCCAGTCTCTATTCATCACCTCGCATACCCCTGTCCTCAACAATAACCTTGCTCAATATACCCCTGTCGTTATATAAACCACCATGAAGATATTCCTCCCGGTTACACGACCATCCAACGTTGCCATCGCCAGCCAAAAAGCAGCCATCACCACCACCACTGCCGCCAACCATGCCTTGCACGCCCAGCCCCTTCAAAGCCCCAGTGCCCAACACCAACCCGGCTCTGGAAGCCGTGGCAGAGAAGCTTCGCGCCAGCGGCAGCAGAAGACTCCTCACCCCAGAAGGCATCGGGGCGCTCTCCACCTCGACGAAGAACATCATCGACAATCTATATATCAATGTCCGAAAGAACTGCTGGGCAGACGCCATCTGCGAAACCCCAGCAGGCCTCCGCTCTGGTCGAATGGACCCCACAGGTAGATGGCACCTTCGTAACCCTCACGTCGCCGCCTTCATCGACGACCTCTCCCACGCCATCCAACTCGGCGATATCTCCGACGTCGACTACTACCTGTCCCGCAGAATCGCCCTCAACACCTGCGACCGCGAGGGCAACTCCCTGCTCCACCTAGCACTAGTCTCCGGCCACTTGGACATCGCCCGTCTCCTCCTCGACAGAGGCGCCAGCCCCCTATACAGCTTTGACCCGGAAGTCCCTGAGCTCGACCAACTCTTCCAATGCCCCAGCCGCGTTGCGCCCCAGCTCAGTTCCATCCGCGTCGACATCCTCCGTCTGCTGCTCAGATACGGCGCCCCTATCCGCCGCTTCCCCACCCTCAACGTCCTCTTCGACTCCCCCGGATACGCCAACGAACTCCTCGGTCTGCTCCTCGATAGACATCCGGATATCCTCCACGAACGCTCCAAGTCAGGCCACACCATCCTCCACTCCGCCGCTGCGCTCGGCACGCCCGAGGCATGCGAGTTGCTGCTTACTCGCGCGCCGCACCTCCGCACCACATATACAGACTGGGATGTGACGCCGCTGCACATGGCCATTCTGGAGAAAAATGAGCTGACAGCCTGCTTCCTCATATCGGCGGATATGACCCTGCAGATGCGCCACGGGTACGACCGCACCGAGCTGTTCCTGGCGGCGTGTATGGGCCTGCGCCGCGTCGTGAAGTTGTTGTTGTCTTCTACGGCGTTCTTTGCGTACCCGCCGCAGAAGTGGGTTTCCGATGCGAAGGCTGCTGTCCGTGTGGCGCTGTATATGGGGAATACGGAGGTGGTGGATATGATTAGACGGAATTTGGGATTGTATGTGTTACCTTTTCACCCCCTTCATGGAAAAGTATATGATGTAATATTGACTGATATATGTTGTGTGTAGATCATGGCACTCCTGTCTGTCTCAGTTTCTTACCCGGCCCCGGCCTGTCCTGACCTCTACTAGCATTCGGGGGATTGAGACTAGGAGGTCGAGGAGTAGACGGGCTAGGAGTGTGAGGGGTGATACTACTCCTCATCAACAGTGTTCTGTTGAGGCTGGGAGTTCGGCTGCGTCGCTGAGTGGGAATGTGAATGTGCCTGCTCCTTCTCATCCCCTCGCTACTGTAACCAATCCGGGGACTGATAATCTTATGGACAGCGACGAGGGTGCGGTGGATGCTATGAGTCTGGATGCCCAGGTTGATCGGTTTCTGCAAAGTGTTGGTGGTAATGAATGTGGTAAGCTTGGGGTCATGGATACGGTAATGGAGAGCATTGAGGAGTCGTAAGATGGCGGGTAGTGGTGGTGGTGGTGATGGATGCATGGTTCTTTCGTGTCTGCCATGTGAAGAGGGCGTTGATGAGTTATTCGTGTGAGATAAAAGTACTATTACCTTCGTGTTTGGAGTCGGGAAATTGCGTTGTATTTGAGTTTCATGAGGGGGTATTTTGGCTGGTGATGCCCTGTTTCAGACAACAAGTCTCATCCCTACATTTCGGTAGATAATATTCAAAGCAAGAGCATTCATCACATAAAGTTCTATATTCATATCCAGTTCAAAGCAGAGTAATGCCTCCATATGTATTTACCTCCCAAAACATATCATATCCACCCACATATCTAGATCTGTACAGATTATACATCCTTCACCCCCTTCTCAACAACCACCTGCTGATGAGCCGCCACCGGCTCATCCACACCCCCAAGTCCCGCCCCATTCAGATAAAAGTCCTGCGGGTCCGTATCCTTGGCCGTCTGCTCCCACGTCAACCCCTGCTTCTGGATCAATTTCTGGTTCTCCGTGGGCCAGAACGTGCAGATGATGTAGTACATCACGAAGGCGGTGGTGAAGGAGAGGATCCACCCGAGGTCGCCCATGCGGGTCGCAGTGGTGGAGACGCTGGCGCCGAGGGAGCCGACGAAGCCTATTTTATATACATTAACATCTGGGGTGTTATAGGGGATGAAGAGATAGACATACCAGGGAATGGCAGTGCAATAGCAATGATGTACGCGATAACGGCTTGGATGTTCCACCCGCCGTAGTATCGGTAGTTTTTGTTGAGCTTTGTGCCGTCATACAGGGACGAGAGGAAGATGTTGCCCTTGGCGAAGCAGAAGTCTACATTCATTAGCATGTGCCAAAATTGAGTGGTAGATGGTAGGGAAAGATAGGGCAACGTACACTCGCACACCATGATGGCCACAACAGCGCCCATGAACAACGCATACCCGGACAAAAAGTCCTCGAATTTCGTCGCCGATGTGAGAATCTCCCACGGCACGACGGCCCACGCGAGAGTCTGCACAATGTACTGTCCGCGACGCATGTTGATGAAGCGCGGGAACAGCATGGACGAATCCGCACCGAAGGAAATCATGTTGGCCGCAATGTTGGTTCCGAGGATCTGCACCAGCCAGGCAAAGGCCACGAGGAACACGGCGAATCGGGTCGTGCCGGACCAGTAGTGGTCCAGGATGAACTCCATCATGTCCCATTGGTTCCTGCTTAATTAGCATGGATCGATCATATTAGGTATTTGGCATGAGGGCGTACCAGATATCGGTGCCGTATTTGTTGTTGATGGCGGCTGTCGCCAGAATACCCAGACTTGCTGAGAGCGTCACCGCGATCGGGTTTGAGAGCAATTGGGTCCAGAGCGGGGCGTTGCGGGTTTTTGTCCAACGGCAGTAGTCGGGTTGGTTGGTGATCAACGTGGCCGTATTACTGTCCAATTAGTCTTATATTTTCCAAGATCCCGGGTGGGAAGCTTACCCCAAGCCACTGTTGATTCCCGCGATAATCATCCAGGCAGTTGCCGTCGTGGACCGTGCCTCAGCCGTGTACATGGTCCCCAGCTGACCCTTGGTGTTGGCCATGGCGAAAATGAACAATCCGAACATGGCGGGCAGGGAAATGAAGGTCTTGAAAATGAAGAACTTGCGCAGCTGGTACGGACGGAAGTGGCAGAAGGGCAGGTGCACCAGCCAGCAGAGGAAGAAGGCCAGCATCTTCTGCGTGGTGATACCTGCGCTGGCTGGGATGTGGTTGGGGATATCGGTGTAGTGGTGACCGAAAATCGCCCGCAGGATGTTATACATGTATTCGGCGCCAAAGTCCACTGCAAGGGTCAGAATGGGGCGTTTCATAGATTTGGAGCAATTCGTGACCAAGCGACTGTCACATACTCTGAATGGCAAACCACACGATGGCTAACACCGCTCGCGCACCCACAAAGTAGTAGCTCCCCCACATGCCGAACACGCTGCGCCCGACGCAGGGAAAACCAAGGTGATATACACTGGCGGCGCGCGAGTTGAATGCCATGGCGACGGATGAGATGAGCTGGGAGACGAAGATGACGATAATCGACTGCCACCAGTTGAGACCGATACCGATCATGGTCTACAGAATCAGTATGATCATCGTGAAAAAGAGCCGCACAAAAAAAGAGGCAGAATACATACCGATCCCAAGGTCCAGTTGGTAAAGGAAATGGACCAGTAGAACGAGACATAGTTCCACCAGCGCCAGGCTGCATCATTAGCACTGGCATGAGCAGGCACTGGGTCAAGTTCAAGACTTACTGCACTGCTCCGGAGGAGTGGGAAGCAGATCTGCAGAGACGGTAAGTTCCAAGTCGCGTGCCACGCGCACCAGCTGCTTAATAGGGTTGCCGACCTTCGTTGGACCAGCGCGAGTCCTGGCTGGACTCCAGCTCGAGGGCGGAGACCACCCGACTGCCAAACCTCGCCATGATGCCTTGCTATGGACCAGTAGGAAAGACAGAGGACGCAGTGTATCGACCCCGGCCACCTAAAGATTGAAAAGAGGTCGCATGGTGCACGGCAGCTGCAGGATTTTATTCCGCGGGGGGCGTGGCGCCTGAGCACGCGGCGGGCAAAGATTTGCACCCACACTTTAACTGTGAAGTGATAAGAACAGCAACCAGTGGGGAATGCCTAGAGATAGAGGTGGAGAATTCTTATTTTTATGCTTCTTATTGGTTCTATGCCTTCCCTTCTTCACCCCGCCGGTGATAAGCTCTGAGATGGCTGGAACCAACCTTTGCTGGAAAGAGTATAGCAACTTTTCACAAGGGAGGGTAAGGTTGTAACCCTATTTGTCTCGAGGGTTTATCTTAGTCACCCTCGGCCAATCACGGCGTTTCCACGCTCCGACGCTATCCCTAAAGGAGGTGTCAGCCCCGTTCACGAGGCTGTTCGGGTCATCGTTGTTGCGCATTTTTTTGCCCTTTCTTTCCCTTCTTTGCCCTTCTTTTCTTTTTCAACGAGGATCTCCCGGTCGTGGGTCGACAGTTTATATTCCAGTGGGGACGGAGCAGTTGGGTTGGCTCCTCGGTGAATGGCCGAAGCAAAAGCAGCCATACCGGAATGGAACATGCCATGCTGCAGGCTACTACTAAAAGTAGTGGCATGATGGGTCGGTACTGGGCTGGGCTGACGTTAAGATAAATAATTATCTGGAGTGACACCTACCGGTTCAGGATACTAGCAGCAGCTAGCAATGAACGGTGTCGAGCATGGAAGCTCTCGAAGCCTTGCTGGAACACCAGTTTTCTTGGAACACTGGCCAATGTGGATGGGTGGATTTGGTTGGTAGCCCATCCACCAATCACTGTGGCTGTAAAGGCTGTCGGTCAAATCTGCCGGACCAGACCAAAGTGAGCAAAGCAATGGCTGGAGCCTAGAGCGGACGGCGGAGGATTCATGCCCGATAACAGGCTGGATAAGCGCCGACTATCGCCAATTTGCAAACAGTTATCATATCAGCCATGATATCAACAGAACGGTCAGAACCACAACAGAAAAAAATAGTTACTACTGTCAAAAAGTTCCTGCTGGGTTCATATTACTGGTGCTTAATGCATCTACTTCTGCTTGATGCTCCCTTTCTAGTAATACCTGCCGACTATCAAGGCAGACCACTAGTGACTGACATAGCCAACAGTGGCGATGCTACTCTGCAACGTTACAGCATCAGCAGTGAAGTTGCCCGTTTAGAAGGGGTGCTCAGGCACTTGTACGCGCTGTGACTGATCCGTGACCTCATGCCAAGCACAATCAAACTTTGTTTCCCCATAGACTGACAGTCAATGCATGTGGACCATCAGTCTGTTGCATTCCCTTGTTAGAGGGATTATTGTAGTGAAACTGTGAAAGAGGTGTGATCGGACTCGGAGAATATTCAAGGAAATAAGAGTAAATTGAATGTCTGGATGAATAAATTTCCCGGTGCCCGGCACTAGTCCCTTTTTGGGTTCGCTCAGGGCACGCCGCCAGGAACCCTTTTGGACCCCCTCTTCGGGCAGAAATCCGGTCGGGAATGCCTTCACCTGAACCAGAGATCCAGCTGAATGTTGTCTCTTGTAACACCTGTCTCAGAACGTAATTGAAGATCAGATTCATCCATTATTCCCTTAAACAAGATCTGCTGGACCTCCTGAATCGATACGTCCATCACCTTAGGCAACCGATAAATTGTGTTGTACTCATTTCTTTGTTTGCCTCTGTAGCCAAATACCGATCAACAGACACCCCGGGACGAGGCTGCACTAGCCATGGGTATTGGTGATAGATCCTGTTCCATCGCCGGGTCTAGATGGCGGCAACCCGGTGTACCTGGAGGTCACCACCCGGTACTTCTACCTCCGACCCCATGATCATTGACTGTCGCTTCATTGCTTTCTCGACTACATTAACCCCGGATTTACACCTTACGAGATCATCTGCATACACTCGGAGATATCACATCAAGCAGATCAATTCTGAACCTACGGTTTTGGTCAAGCGAGCAGCGCGTAAACTCCGATGATGCCCTCAAGGCAGGACACACAGTACCTGCGAGAACCAGCATTAGCCACCAGCTGACAGTGGTGGTCCCTCTCTGCTCCTGGACCATCTGCTCATTTCATATAAGCTCAAGGAGCCCAAATACAGGCATAGTTCATGACGCAACAACGGATCCGCCAACCACAAAGGCGCATTCACGCTCGCGTATGGTCCAAATGTTGGGTCGGTTTGGAATCCTGCAGCGAGGTGTGGAAATTGGACGGGGCCATCCGCGACGCGGTGGGGAACATTCCCAGCGGTATGCCCGGTGATGGTAGAAACAGAAGGGACAAGGAATAGTACAGCTCATTTCCAGGGTAGTCATTCACCGTTCACCTGTTCACCAAGTCCAAAGTATTCCCGACAGTGTAGTACTACAATGTACTAGAGACATGATATATTAACTAGCAAACGGCCATTCTGAAACCATCTGCTACCCGCAACCCCGAGCGTTCTTTTAGTCTGAGCGGATCGTGTAATTTCCAGCGTCGCCCCCGTCATTCCCCAGATCGCCCAATCACCACCACGAATTCCCTTTAATGGCCAAACTGCCATACCCTGCAATCTCCACCCGATCCAGCATCTCGCCAGTTCGTGCTCGAATCGGATCGCCGCCTGGCGTTTCACCTAAAATGTCCGATGGGGGCGCCATCATTTTCAGCGCCAAAAACCTGTCATCTCACCTTTCATTCATTGTCCTCAATTCATGCCTTTCGGGGGCCAGTATATAACCCTTCAAGGCCCCATCCGGCTGGTCTCGGATGGTTCGGTGTTGACTCCCAGCTTCTGGAAAGCCTGTCGCCTCGTCTTTCGTTTCCCAACTTCTTGTCGTTCCTTTATCGTTTCTCAATCCTTTACCGCCATGTTCGGAACTACTGCTTCTCGCCTCATCCTGGGGATGCTCAGCTGTGTGGCCCTCCTGCCCAGCCAGGCTTTGGCGGCACACCAGCACATCGGTCACCGCCACCATCATCCCTTCAATCCCACCCAGCAACCCCAGGCCAGCACGCTCATCACTGTCGCTCAGGGTAGCGCTGCCACTGAAGCCCCTTCCGCATGCTACTGGGCCCCATCTGCCGTATCTTCAGTGATTGCCTCGGCCTCGGCGGAGGCCTCGGCGGTAACTCAGAGCAACATCACCGCCAAGGTCATCATCCCATTCTACGTCTATCCTGAAGATGGTGCCTGGACCCCCATGGAAGAGCTGTACGTTGTAACACGATGACTCAAATCTCTCAATCACTAACCTCCCCAGCGTCGCCGCCTTCCCCAATGTCCACTTCACCATCATCATCAACCCCGATAGCGGTCCCGGCTCTAGCAGTCTCCCAGACAGCAGCTTCCTGACCGCCGTCCCCAGGCTCACCAGCTACAGCAACGTGCTCGCCATCGGCTACGTCCCGACAGAGAAGGGCACCCGCGCCATTTCAGACGTCGAAAGCGACATCAAGACCTACGCCGGCTGGCCTTCCGCCTCCGGCAACTCCTCTTTCGCCGTGCACGGCATCTTCCTCGATGAAGCCCCCAACGCCTACAGCGAGGAGCTGGTTTCGTACTACCAGCAACTAACCACTCTCATCAAAGAGAGTTCCGGCCTGGGACCGGAGAATTTTGTATGTCCTGTCCTCACCCTACCACCTCGCTTCCGCTGTAACTAATTAATGATATGTATAGGTGGTGACCAACCCCGGCACAGTCCCTGACTCCGCCTACCTCAGCATTCCCGACTCCACGGTGGTCTTCGAGTCGCCCTACGACTCGTTCATGAGCGCCGTGTCAGCAGACTCGTTCGCTAGCATTAGGGGCGGAAACCACAGCGCTCTGGCTACCATGGTCTACTCGGTCCCGGATACTGTGCATCTCCCGACCCTGATTAGCCAGGTCGGGAATATCTCGGACCAGATCTTCCTGGGCAATACGAGTTCGTATACGGTGTATAACTCGTACATGAACCAGGTTATTCCATTGTTGTTGCCTGCTTCTTCTTAGGAGTGGCTGGCTGACTTTACTGTCGCGGGCGATGGGTTAGATAGATGGTGTGTTTCAATTCTTGTCTCTCGTTTATTCACCGTTTTATGTATATAGATGTGTATGTTGTGGAACAATGTGCATTTTTGACCAGTATCATATGTTGGCAGGCTCCAGATTAGGCAGTAGTCGAAGATGCAATGTAGGTAGGCTGCGGCGCCACCCGTGAATTCCCTCAGCTGTACTGAGACAGTTTCATCCCTACAGTAGGATAGGGATGAAACATAACAATAAGAAAATGAAACGTATCGGACTATGAAACATTTCTATCAATTTCTGTATATATATATAGCCTATATACATAGTAGTATAATCCGTCGCCTAACTCCCACACCCATATAATCATAAACCTAGTATTCAACCTAGTTACACAACAGTTAGTTCTCACTCCAATCTCAATGTAGTATATTATGAAAGGCATAACATACAACAAAGGTAGGAAGAAATTAATTAGATAATATCACCAACAGCGGCATCCACATCCGCACCGACACTGGCAGCTGCGTCTGCAGCGCCCGAGACCACCGCGCCGACATCGACGTCGATGGGATTGGCGGTGGCGAAGACGGCCAGGAGGGAGAGGGCGGAGAGGACGATGAACTTCATTTTGTGATGTTTCTGCTATACTTGCTGTTAGTCTTCAAAGGGTGATATTTCTGAGGGAAATACATACGGTAGTGGTAGGTAGAGTGATTTGGAAAAAGTCTTGTCGGTGAGGGAGATAGATAGAGCGGTACTAGATGAGAATGATGATAGATGTATCTGAAGACCATGAAGGTCAATTTATACCTTTCTTCACCATCACGAAGTCTCGGGTTCTCTATAATACTCAACAGTGAGATGGAAGTCTAGAACCATGTCAGTAATGGATGGTATACGTACATGGTCATTATCTTGTCGATCGGGAACTACCATTTTTGAGGGGTTGTGGGGACCCCATTTTTGGGTTCGTCGGGTGGCCGGGACGGACGTGCGCCCGCCGTTGAGATAGCCGTTGATCGATCTGGCGGTTGCTTCAGGAAAATTGAAACAAGGTGTGAACTAGTTGGTAGGCGAATTAGATAGAAATTTAGTTTTATTATCTATCCTCGATTTGATTTACATTAGATGGTACTAGGGGGCTATGTAACTAGGCTGGATTGGGATAGAGTTGACTAGGGATGGCTCGTCTGTTTCACAGCGATTGTCTGCGTATTGTAGGTCTCAAGTCTTTATACCTTAAGACTATAGTATTATTTGTGCACTTTGACCTGTTCGAACATTGGATGGTATATCGGCTGTCTTTCCCACCTCATTTCAAGACTGCCGTCGGCTTTGCCACGGCTAACCCACGTCCCTATATTTGAACCACGGTTCAATCCGGGTCAGGGGAACTTGACTATGTTCTGGGCGTTTACGTGATCGACTACATTCTTGACCTGCCGTTCAAACCAAGGTACTAGCTTATCGTATTTTTATGACAGATGTCGTGGTTAGTTGAGTGGTACTTTGGTCTAGATGCATTCTGTTGGTTCAGGACACGTACGACGCTGGACAAACCAGAGTTCAGTCCACTTGCGATAGCAGATTACCGATCGAAGATCTCACAATTGAATTCAGCTCGCTAAAATCAAGGCATGTCGCTCAAATAACGTTCTCAGTCTGCTGATCTGCTGATCTGATCCTCGCTAGCTTGCGAAGCACACGTCCGACCGGCTTGGCTAGCGTTAATGTTCATGAAGACAATGCGGTTATGGCTAACAGTATAACCCATCATCCTGGAAATGAGTCTACTGACTTAGATCGGGAATACTGGCCTCATGTTCCAACACGGCTGGATGCTTCACCCCTCCGACACGCAACTTGGTCCAATCCCTCTCCACCCCCTCCTCGATGTCTGGACATGGGCCCAGCGGTGTGATCGCCCTGGGGTTGATGTGCCAGTGGCTCTTCGTATACTAGTCCAATTAGCACATACCTTCTGGACGTGATTGGGTGACTCACATTCTCCTTGATATGCTTGAAATCTGTAGTATCTCTCGCAGCCTCCACATCCCAATACATCCCCTTCAACCAGTTATGCAGCACCGGATAATCATGACGGATGGTCCCCAGATTACACTTGAAGTGCTCCACATACACCACGTCGAATCGAATCAATGTTGTATACAGCATCACATCCAACTCTGTCATCTCTTTTCCTAGCACGAACGGGCCTCCATTCTGCGCGATAATGCGCTCAAGCTTGTTCAGCGCCCCGAATACGCGAACCACCTTGTCGTTGTATTCCTCCTGCGAGTCTGTAAATCCGGCCTTGTACACCCCAGAGTTCACATCCGATTGCATCCACGGACTGATGGCGTCAATCTTTGCTTGGAGATGGCTAGGGTAGAGGTCAATCTCAGCCAGCGACGGCGAGATCTGGGAGTTGAATGCTTTGGGGAGCCAGCGGAGCATTTCTAGACTTTCCTATACGTCGCATCCAGCATGCATCAGTTACTAGATTCCTCCGATCAACACAGAGATTAGAGTCGGTAGTATACATACATTACAAACCGCCGTCCCCGTCTTCGTATCCCACAACAAGGGTACCGAATACCGGCCCTTATATTCTGGATCCGCCCGGAAATATACCTTGTGCAGGTAATCCTCCCCGTAAAGATGATCCACCGTTGCCCCGGGGTACTCGTCGTCCGAAGCAGGGAACTTCCATCCTGGCCAACCCTTTAAATCTCCCTTCGGGTACGCTCGCACAACGCTGACTTTAATGAGGTCGGTGAGGCCCTTGAGGTGTCGGACGATGTTGACGCGGTGGGCGAATGGGCAGAAGTGTCCGATGTACAGGTGGTAGCGGTCGGGTTCGGCGGGGAAGGCGGTACTCGGGACGATGCCGTGCCAGCCGTCGGCGGTGCCGGCTTGGTGGATGGACATGATGATGGTGATGTTGAGGGTATTGATGGTAGTTAGGGACTCGGGAGAGAAGACTGTTCAAGAGGAAGGAGGGGGGAAATGCTGCAGTGCCAGTTGGCAATGCCATCATCTGAGGGCTTATGCGGGGTCCGGAGCAATTCCGCACTGGCGTCATTGTTGGATTCGTCATCATTCTTGGAGTCACTGACTCACTCACTATGCAACTGGAACAACTGGATATGTTGACTTATGCTGTGCCAAGGCTGGCCACGTGGTGGGGGGATTATCCCAGATACTAAATTACATCTATATTGACTATCTAACTCATGTCTGCACACTAAGTCGGAGTACTAACCTATAAATACCTGGTTCATGCTTGGCTCTGATTGTTTCGTCATTTGGGGCCGATACTAGTAGTGAGCTTGGCAAGATCGGCAGCATTTGGGTCTCAATATTTATATCAGTCTATTCCAATGAACAACGCCCTGAACCGCACTGAGTAACAATGCCATACAGCTTGTTGGTATACTTACTTTTTATCATTGGATTTTCCAATGGTTGATAAGCACCATTAGCGACTAATTAACAACTGGTGAGCTCATGTAAGAGAGCTTCTGACTGCAACACTTGACTATGACCAACTAACTTATTTATAGTTTAGATCATTATCAGGAATAACATGCTTCGTTAGCGGTTATATACCATAAGCAAAGCTGCTACACTCCAACTATGCGTTGCTACGAGACTTTGCTGCTGACCGCTTGAACATCAGCATCCGGTTTACCCGAACGCAAGCAGTGGGGCGCTATCAAGCTCCATTAATCTCACAGCTTAGACTACTTCCGAGGGCAGTGCAAGCTTCAAGCACCAACTTCTCCAACAATGATCGATCGATCGCCGCGAAACATGCCCGATGTGGCCCGCTAAGCTGCCGTCAGACTAGGCCACCCGCTAAGCCACTCGACTGCGACCGCAATGCGGCATTAGGTGAACATTTAGCAGGATTGTGTTGAAGAAAATGCTCCCATTCCCACTCATTCCTGTTGGGGGCGAAACCTTGTTCCCCCTTAATCAACAGAAACAAGGAAATAAAACCGAGGAGTTATCCGACCAGGTTGACAATTTCTCACACAGTACCCTCGACCAGTCCATTGAGTCTTGATTATCATCATGAACCGGTACCTGTCTATCCCCCTGTGCTTGGCGAGCGCTGTTCCTGCGCTAGCGGGTCTGGCGGCCCGCGACCCCATCGGTACCATCTGCACCAAGAACAACATCATCACCACCGACGACTTCATCCTCTACAATAATCTCTGGGGCGAGGACTATGCCACTTCCGGCTCCGAGTGTACCTACCTCGACTATGACAGCGGCAACTCCATCTCATGGCAGACGTCGTGGACCTGGGCTGGCGGCGACGACTATGTCAAGAGCTATCCCAATGCCGTCCTGAACGTCGGTGCCAAGCAGCTGAGCACGATCACCAGTATTCCCTCGACCTGGAAATGGAGGTGAGCCAATCTTTCCTGTCACGAATGAAGCTATTGTCTAATATTCTTAGCTACACGGGCAACGACCTCGTCGCCGACGTCTCCTACGATGCCTTCCTCTCCACCACTGATTCCACAACCGCCACTCACGAGTACGAAATCATGATCTGGCTCGCCGCCTACGGTGGCATTGAGCCCATCGGCAACTCGGACGGTCCTATCGCCAGCCCCACTATCGGTGGCTACACCTGGGATCTCTACAAGGGTCCCAACGACTGGACAGTGTATAGTTTCGTGGCCCGCGAGACTATCACGGACTTCTCGGCCGATGTCTTGGAGTTCTTTACTTATTTGGTTGATAACGAGGGTGTCTCTTCGAGCTTGTATTTGCAGACCCTGGGTGCGGGCACTGAACCGAAGACTGGCTCTGATGCTTGGTTCACGGTTTCGCCGTATACTGTTAGCATCAATACTTAGAGGGTTCAAGTAGTGTGACGTTAGCAGTGAGTGGTTTAGTTGGGGAGAAGTGGTGAAGATATTAGAGTGATAAATTGACCAAGCCTGTGATATTTTTTGTGACAACCAGACGGTAATTAGTTTCGTCGATAATTAATATTGGAAATCTTAAGGGCGCAACGCTATCCATAACTCGGTTATTTCAAATGGTAGAAGTCTGGAGAACGTTTGTGGCTGCGGAGTCCCCATGGCCTGATAGGCTACATTCCTCGTCCTATGGAGCAGTGCTCTTTTTATCTAAATGACCGACGAGAAAAATTTAGATAATTAGGAATGGGCATCATCTGCGTCATAAGATGATGTGAAAAAAATGAAAAAGAAATGTTTGAACTCCGATAGGGGGAATCGAACCCCCGGCTGCCGTGTGAGAGACGGCGATGTTAGCCACTACACCATATCGGATTAGTTGTTATTCTCGACCGGAATATACACTTAATAGGCAAAGACCAACTGCCAATCACGTGCCTCCCGATCGCATTGCTCTAAACAACTTCCTCACCTTTCCTCCATAGTAAGCGTACTTGATTTACCCACCCCATCATCATCAAGTTACTTAGAGTGGGTTTCAGATAAAATTGTTTTATGGGCTTCTACCTGATTTATCCCAGCGTGAGAATTACAATGGCAAAGGTTTAAGTCCACTATGGTGTGGTAGTAGCATTTCATGTTTCTACTCATGGTTGCAAACATATATTCATTGGCGCAACAGGCTCATACTCAGGCAGAATGTCATGGAACAAAGATCCCGAAGATAGTACTACAAGCGACAGTACAAGACAGCACCACTGTCAGCTATCCACATCAGCCAGGATATCAGGATAAAAGAATTACCAAGAATCATCGCCGAGTCATCACAACACCATCTTGCCAGCGATTTAAGGCGGTCTTGCGGCATCGCACAAGATGTACCGTTTCTGCAGGCCGAAATAACAACATGAGATGTCAGCCAAATCTGTATTACGAAGGGACTAGAAATCGAGGTCCCGGAGCTGAGAGTTAACACTCACAGACCTTCCGCGCCTAGACAGCTCTGTTACACAAATGTCAGCCCCATTCTCAGCAACGACCGGCCTATGTCTCTGATCCGGGCACGATCGGATTTGTCGGAGATTAAATCTGTGGCAAGACCAATGGGATATGCTTTTAGTTCTAGTTGAGGGAATTATAGCGCACACGAACTAATGAACAAGGAATATACCTCACATGTGTCGAGGAGTGCGTCTTCAATGAATGCATAGGCTCTCCGTGCATTCGACACTGGCCAGCAACAAAACTCCCTGGGACTAAGGTACTGAGATATACATCATGTGTTGAGAATTGGGTGACCACAATATGTACGACCTGATTATCAGGCATTCTACATATGAACATCATGCGATCTGATTGACGATGTACCACAAGACAAATGCCTGTTCGTCGGCCTGACATTGTCAGTCAGACCCGACAAGTCAATGCTTCTTTGAGCTGTTTGAATAAAAGAGTCGGTATGCCATACCGGAATCCTCACCGGCCCCCCTTGATTGGAGATAGTTGTGTTGGTTTCGTTTAATCTTGAGACTGCAAGAGCATCCATCTCTGACATCGAGATGGCTGGCTGAGCCGCCCGTATGCCGCTGAATCAGCGGTAACCCAGTGTTGACAGACATTGCTGAACTTACATTCAGCCTATCCACGACTTGCTGCGGGGGCAAGTGTCGGATAAAACTCTGGTCAAGTTGTAGCTGCTGCCTGCCGACGCATGTTGCGGTAGCAGGACCCATCTGCTGACGAAAATGGCAACACCCGCTCATCTATTCATTGTTATTTGTGTTCCCTCTACGAGACACAACCAATCCCTTGTTTCTTGGGATTCGATCTAGGATCTAGTGATTACGAGAAGCAACGTAGCAGTTATGTAGCTGGAATCACCGCAGTCTGATTTCAAATCTATGTCATCGTTGGCCTACGTCACCTTATCACTACCCCTCTCTTTAGCCCAGTCAACTCTGAGCAATCGGCGCCTGTTATGGGAGTGGATCTCCCAATCCCAAAGGACGACGTGAAGCAATGGGGAAGCCCTGATGAAAGGGAACTGGATATTGGACAACCAATCCAAAGCCCGGGCGAAAGCCAACAAGAAGCTACCACCCCTGCCACTGAACAAGATGGAGGGCGTGTCAAGTGTAACTTCCCTTGTCAGAGCCCCCAAATGTCCCAGCCAATCTGTTGATGGCAAGATTGGGTACGATGGAGTATAATAGTGTAGCCTTATTGACTCTTGTCATGCACATTCCACAAGCTAGTATTTCCTTCATTTGGTGCTCACACTGTTTGTGGCTCGGAAGGTGGTAGAATTTCCGGGATAGAGACACCGAAGTTATAAAAAAGGGTAACCTAGTTGGAACATCCATGAAGCACAAGCAAGTATGACACTTAGCTTACTGACATCGTCCCACTGGGCACTAACGGCGATATCCTAGAATCGTGCTGAAAATGCCATGCCAGACTTGGCGTGTACCAGATGCCGAGAGCGCAAGATACGCTGCGGCCGGGAACGGCCTCATTGCCGTAACTGCCAGAGGGAGGGCGGGCTGATTTGCGTGTATCGGATTCCTGCCAAACGTGTTAATCACCTCAAGTTACTGTCAGTAACTCATTTTGGCTGGCAGAGGCATTAGTGCTCATCATGCTACAGGTGCGCTAGTATCGATCGACTACAGGATCGATTGACAAGTATTGAGGCTCACCTTAGCCGACTCCATGGACCTGGCCTCCGGATTCCGGTGTTCGAGGAGGAACACCAGTCATCCCAATCAAAAGCCTTGATTGAGGGTGTATCTGCAACAAGTAGCTGTGACGATACTGACGATGAAGAGGAGCACAAGGAGGGGGCTTCCAGGATTTTTGCCCCTAAACATTCAGAATATTACTTTGGACACCCATCTGTCGCCGCTCTGTGCGAAAACCTCAAGAGAAGGGTCCAGCTGGTACCCTACGCGACGGAAGCAATATGGCGACCGCTCTGCGACATGTTGCACCATCTATGCGAGATCACAAGCGTGTCAGAACCTATCCCGTCATATAGCGACCGGCTCGTTGTTCCGCTGCTGCCCAGGCATCAGGCTACCGCCGCCATGGATTGGTTCCTCCAGCACCAAGACTGCCAGACCGACGTCTTCGTGCCGGATAATCTACGGGCCAACCTCCAGCGCGTGCACTCGCAGCATCAGCCTCAGTCTGATGATGCCGCCTGGGGCATATGCTTCCAAACCATTACCCTATTGGCCCGGATCAAATCTAAAGCTACGCATGGATTGCTCGGCAACTTCACGCATTCATTCGTACCCAGCCGGGCGGTATTGGCTTGCCCCGGTCTGCTAAATACGCCGAGACTCATCAATGTGCAGGCTTTGCTTCTCCTCGTATGGTAGTGGACTCAGGACCTTTTGGTGTTCGATGCTGACAATGGACATGTAGAGTGTTGCAGCGCAAGCTCTCGACCATTCCGGATCGGCAGAATTGATATTTGCCCATGCGTGCACCCTGGCGCGGATTGTAGGCTTGCAATGCAGCCAAATTCCGGATCAGGGTGACATTGTAGAAATTGAACGCGCTAAGGTGCTTCGAGCGTTGTACATCCGTGATCGGAGTTTGTATACGCTTCGTGGCTCAGTGCTTTGGATGCCCTATGACGACTATGACATCGTCACTCAGCTGCGTGCAGCTGTTGATAAGCTGGAAAAGCACTCAAATCGGCTCCGTCTAGCCATAATGCAGGAAGACATATACCGGCTGGCTCAGATGAGCTCAATGTCGGGGAAGGCACACGACAACCAAGGACTGCTGATGCACAGTGAAAAGCAGCTTGATGAGTATGCTCGAACATTGTATCTATTCCATGGCCAAAACACCCCGTTAGAATTCCCTGGATCTCATGCTATAGAGACTATGGAGTTCTTGGCAACTCGAATCATGGCCTTTCAACATGGACAGGAGCTATACCACTCGCGGCAAATCGAGAAAGATGCGCGGTTGAGCTGCTTGCTTTTGCTGATAGCACACGGAGACCAGAATCCGGCGGTTTTATACTGTTTCAACGAAATGATAGCAGGGGAAGGAACCAATCCAAAAAGCAACGATCAGTTTCACTGCTCCCCTAATGTGTCATTCATGAGTGTGTATGACGCGTTTTCTGTTCCCGCATTTTTCATTGTATTACAAAATCTTCTCATGTCACGCTCGCGTGAAACTCCGGCTGGCATGATATCTGACTTGGATTTGCTGCGGCGGGTGTCGGCTTGCTATACCGATCATGCTAGTCAAATGCCGACAAATAGCTACCACTCAAAGATAGCGTGGATATTTTTACAACTGATGTCTTTGGTTCGCGTTGTTGTGGACGCACGTTTGGGTCGTCATATTGTTGACTCGCCTCGAGCCCCTCCTCAGAATGACCTTCCCAGTCCGCCATACTGGCTGGTGGCTCAGCAATCAACCGCTCCTCTGAATTGGGAGAGTTGGCTCAGTGGGGCGTCATCTCTGGCACTGTCCCCTCTTGGGCCTGCGACACCACTCGGGACATGGAACGCTAACACGCCGGCTCTAGACGGCGAAGGACTGATGCTGTGGCCAACAGCAGGTGAAAGGTCGCCCGTGGCACCAACATGCTCCACATCATGAGCAAGTAGACAGACATGCTGATAGGTGTGCAATGTGAGGTTGTTTTTCTAGATCGTTCTTGCGGGTTGTCCTCTGAGCATCCGTGCTTCCAGGTACTTCTTCGGAGATGATGGGAGATGACGATTTGCGGTCACAGCTCAGCACACCTAGTGTGGCCAGGAACCGTCTTGGCATATATAGAATCAGCAGACTGCAATTACATCTTCTAAATCATTGAAGGTGATCAAATACCTTAACATGATATATGATGTGCCAACCTATAGCACAATAGGATGTCCTGATGAGAAGCCAACCAAGAAGTAGTCAATAACCAGTGTGCGACAGACCTCTCACCAAGGTTAGACGTTCACCTAGATTAGATTGACGCTATCAGACAATAAAATTACATAGTCACCTTAACTCACGCTCACCCGTCCATCTTCTCTAGGAAGATCGTATCGGTTACACTGAGTGTCTCCGGGGTCCGGGGCACACCTTGGTGCTCGAAGGCCGGTTTACCCTGGCTGTGTTTTTAATAGTATTGAGGAGGTAATTGATCGCTGGCAGGGGTCACTGATTTCCCCCATAATTAAGGATGGTTATAAGGAGGGATAGAACTTTACTAATGTAACGGCACATAAAGCTATAGCAGTCTCAAAATCTTGCTGGCAATACGTCTATTGATTCTGTTCCCGCCTTGTATTCCGTCCGGCATTCGCATAGTCTGATAGTTGAGGGGTGCTCGACTGCTGATACACACCCTTTTATTTCGACTAATTTGGGTGTGTCTTCACTCGCAATCCGAGCAGTATCCGCAGACAACTCAAACCACCATCTAGAGAATCACCACCATCATGTCTCAACCTCACCCCCTCTCCGGCCACTGGCAACCGAACCCTCACCTCCAGCACCTCTACTACGGTCCTGACTGCGTCTCCCAACACCTCCTCAACGCCCTTCCGAACCCCACATCCAAAGCCATCATCATCACCGGCACGACCCTGGCAACTCGCACGCCTCTCGTCCAGCGGCTCCAAACCCTCCTAGCTACCCACTACGTTACCACCATCTCCTCTATAACCCAACACACCCCATCCCACACTATCGACGACGCCATTAAGACCATATTAACCCTCCACGCTCAAGACCCCACAATTGACACCCTCATCTCCTTAGGCGGCGGCTCTCCCATCGACGCCGCCAAAATCCTCGCCCTACGCTTCTTCCAAGCTACCACTTCAACCCTAACCCACCTCGCCATCCCCACTACCCTCAGTGCTGCTGAAACCACCCCCGCTGGAAGCGCCACCCAACCCGATGGAACTAAAACCGGAATTCGAGACGCCAAGATGGCAGTACATGCTATTTTCTATGACCCGGCGTATACAAAATACACCCCGATGGATCTATGGCTCAGCACAGGAATCAGAGCTCTAGATCATGCCGTTGAGGCGATGTATCATCCTACTGCTAGTGAAGTGCCGTGGAAGATACTTGCTATTTATGCAGTGGGGGAGTTGTTTGAGTGCTTGCCCAAGGCCAAGGAGGATTGTGATATGAGTGACGATGCTACAACTGTTAGGCTAATGCTAGCTTCGTTTGCGAGCTCGGGACTTAAAGGTGAGGATCTGGGAAACGGGATGGGATTATCGCATTCCCTGGGATATGCGCTGGGGAGTCCGTATGGGATTCCGCATGGGGTTACGAGTTGTGTTACGCTGGGAAAGGTAGTCGGGTTCATGGCAGGTGAGGGGAAGGAGAGGGATATTGCGAGGTTGGTGGAGGCAGTAGGGGGCGTCAGGACGGGTGACGATGAGGTCGATGCAAGGGTTGTCGGGGAGAGGATTGTGGCGTTAGTCCAGGCTTTGGGGTTGGGGGTTAAGTCATTAGGAGAGTTGGGTGTGTGTAGGGATGAGGTGCCGGTTATTGCGAAGAGGGCGTTGAGGGGGGTGGAGAGGGGGGAGTTTTATGACAGGGTTGAGGGGCTGGTTGGATCGTTGTTTTGATGTAGGGATTCAAGGGGTAAATGGAACGTTCGTATTTCCTCCGTGAGGGTTCGGGGAGATAGTATCTGTCACTCTAGAGAACTAATCTGACAATTTAGTTTAGGATTTATCGTATATTGTTGTTTTGTCCCTGGGAGAATCATGGTAGTCGTTTGCTGACACAGGTAACCTGCTCGGATTCCGGACGCCGCATCGGAATGCGCTCACTCGTATACACAGTCGGGTCTTTTATAACCACAGCCACCCCTCCTTGGCATAGACCGGGATAAAACGTTTTCAGGAAGCTAATTTAGCAGCGAAAAAAATGTCTTCTAGTATTCGGGAGCTAGCTACACAGATACTCGCTCTCTGCACCAAGCTTGAGCAAACCTGCAATGAAGCAGATATCCCTCCTCCATCACTTTCTGCAGATACCAGAACTTCATTCTGGTCTGATTCCCAGTTAACTGCTACACGAGCCACAGCTCTCGGCCTACTGGAACAACTATCTATATTAATTCAAGGACCACAAGAATTTCTACATGACTTCGTCGCCTCCCACTGGGACCATGGGGCGCTATATGCGTTCCTCCACTCACAGACCCTCGAGCATATAGCCCGTTCGGGGCGGGCATCTATTGAAGACCTGGAGTCTCAATCTGGTATCCCGGCAGACAAGCTCGCACGGATCCTTGGACTACTTCGGTGTCGACGCATCATTGATGAGCCCGAAAAGGGTGTCTATTCTTTGACTGCTGTGTCGGAGGAACTGGTCAAGGACAGCGATTCTAGAGCATGCTTTGAGTTTCAGTACGTATAACATGCGAAGTGGAGTGGAACGTCGCTTATAAAATAGATTATTTGAGACTCGTATTGCGAGTGCACATTTGGCGGATGCTTTAGCTCGCAAACCAAATGGGTATGCTGATGGTGTGTCAGCGTTCAGGGAGGGGTGAGTATACATAATTTGATTTTTAATTGATTCGTGCTAATATGATAGTTTCGGCATGGAAATGTACGACTGGCACGCTTGTCATCCTGACAAGGGAGAGCGATTTCGTCGTGCTATGAGGGGTGTCTCGCGGGGTGAGTGTCATCGGATGTGCCTGCATATAGACCTCACTAAACATATTGAATTCTGCTAGCCCTTGATCCTGCGGACTCCTTAATCGAGGGCTATATCCAGCAGCACACTCCCACCACCAAAACTAAGATCGTCGAGATTGGTGGCCGCTACGGTTTTGCCGCTATCTCCCTTGTACAAAAACATCCAGAACTGTCATTTGAAGTCCGCTCCGACTCTCAAGAATTTCTCGACCGCGGCGACACACATGTCCCATCTTCTTGTCGGGAACGAATAGCCTTCACGCATTGCCAGTCGGTGTTCGATTCGCCGCCTGCGTGTGATGAGCATACCGTATGGCTATACGTGATCAGGAATTTGCTGTGGAACTGGTCTGATACGGATGTCGTGAGACTGCTGAGAAGTATTAAACAAGGAGCTGGCGCATCTACCCGTGTCTTGATTACAGATGGCGTGTCGCCAGTGTCTGGACAGTTTCCGTTACATGAGGAGATTGCGTATCGACGGAGAGATGTTACGACTATGAGCATGCATAATGTGAAGCAGAGGACACAGGAGGAGTGGGTGGGGGTGTTCAAGCAGGCTGACCCGGTCGTACGGGTGGAGACTATGTTTGAGAGGAGTTCGCATGTTTATAAGGGGCTGTGGGAAATTAGTTTTGTGAATGATGGTGATAGTACATAGGAGAGGAATGGAATCTACTTTTGGTGATGAATCGGCGAGAAAATGTTGGGACACGTATCTCTCCGTCGCCTAGCTAACCAAGAGCGGTTTATCGTTTTTGGTCTAGCGGTTAGTGCTTCGACAGAAAATGGTGTAGACGACAAGAATGAATACGCAAATCGAACACATCGTGATTAGACTTACTGGCCAGTTCGCAGTCCTCAACCTTGCCATTAATCGTGATACAGGCTGCGGCAGGTATTTCTCTGCCTAAATGAACTCTCCGGACATAGCCTGATGCTCAAGAGCTGCTTGGCAGCTACTAAAGGCCGATCCTGGAAAAGCCGCTCCAAGGCCACCATATGCTCCATCGCAGCATCAGCCCATACTTTATGCCTTACCCCCGACAGCCAAGCGTAACTACCCAGTTTGAGCAGTTGTTTTGCAAAGTAACGTTACACAACCCGTCCGAAAGCAAACTATGTCAGCTCCCTAGCCATTATCAAGGGAATCCAGCGCCAAGCCAATGTGCTCTTCATCGGGCTCCCACCTACTCGTTTGAGAGAATTATATACCTACTACTACCAAGGTTGATGCCCGTAGAGACAACCTAGCCAGTTCTCCTGTAATAACCAAGATCATGGATCGCGTCGACCTATCCTACACAGAGAATCTATCCATCCATCATTACCAGCCAGAACAGACGCCATGGCGCCGACTGGGACAATGTACTACCACCTTTGCTGCACACACCCTTACCTTGGTTTTTATGTCACGCTAACATTGGAAGACCTCTACCGCGTCATGGAAGACGGGACGCACACTCAATATCGTCTCGCCGCAATCGAAAGTCTCCTTCCGCCTCACAGCGAGGGGCCTGTGTTCCATTTCCACGAAATGCACGATGAGGGGTTCTACGTTACGGTGATTACTTTTCTACCATGATAGTCCCTATTACTTCCAATTTTAAAGGTTTGCTGATGATGAATCGTATCCAGAAAGGGACAGTCCGCTTCCACAGCCCCGGCCGTGCCGACGTCGATGCCAAAGCCGGCGACTTTATCATTGTTCCTATCCGTCTGCCTCATCGATTCAGTAACCCGTTCGATGAGGAAGCTGTTTTTATGAACACAGCTACACCGGGATTTTTTGTGAGGTATTTTGAGTATCTCGAATATCTGATTGGCGAGGGCACGGTGCTTACGCCGGAAATCAACAAGGCCGCGTTGAGAAGGTTTGCGACTGTGCCGGTAAGTAAGGAGGATGTGTCAAGGTTGGAAATGGAGGGGATGAGGAATGAGAGTGTAACTGAGTCTGAAACTGAGGGGGAGAGGTATGTCGATATGTTGGTCGAGGAGAGGAAAGGCGCATAGGTTTAGCAATGATAGGTTTCTGGAGAAAAGTAATTACTGGCGGCATACGCGTACAATCATGTTGTTGTAAGGGGTGGAATGTAGAACGTTTGATAGAGCTAGTTTGTCAAATGGAGTTAAAGTTATCGAGGCTTAGTGTTGGAATGCCACTAACGATAAACTCGTGGTTCGCGTGAACTCTGAGGCAAGGGATTTCAGTGGCCAGTAGCAGCTGCACAAAAGAGGTACGGAAACAGTATCCGCCATGTAATTCCTCTTGTCTCTCCCACATTATTGTTAGCAACCCCTCTGCATCAATCTGACAAACAACGGCGGTTTCACCCAAAACCCAAAGACCTTCTGTCCGTCAGTCCAACCTTTGCTTGTCTCATCTATCTCCATATCAAATAGAAACAGCAGTTTCGCCGCGATTAGTCGCATTTCCGCCCACGCTAGGTTCTTACCAAGACAGTTCCTGGGTCCAAAAGAGAATGGTTGGCAACTTTTCTGGCAATCCTTCGAAAACGGCCCCTGCGCCTGACATTCTGGCAACCACCGCTCAGGCAAGAACTCTTGTGGACGGTGAAAGTTGCGTGGATCGTGATAGCAAGCGAAGTGATTGACTCCCACTGTTACTCCGGCGGGTACGAAATCCCCATCAATGACTGTGCCATTGACAGGGACAACTCTAGGTAGAGTCACAGCTACAGGAGGGTAGATCCGCAGCGTCTCCTGCAGTACGGCATTTAGGTATGACAGCTGGGCTGTAGAAGAGATATCTATCTGCTCATATGCATCGAATGTTCCGCGGATCTCAGCGATGAGTCGATCGTACACACTCACCCGTGAGAGAGTATAGTATGTGAATGCGCTTAATGCCGTCGCCGACGACTCTGACCCAGCTATGCTGAAAGAGAAAGCGTTGACGTTCATCTCGGCGCGCGACATTCCTTTTTCAGTCTCCATCGCGGCGAGGATGTAGTGTAGGAAGTCCTTGCGGTCGGTGTTTCGATCTACGCGACGATTGACAGTTTCAATTACTCGCTGCATGTTCTGCGCCCGTGCTCCTGAAAATGCCTTGGACATGAAGAGCTGTCGAAGAGACAGTAGTTTGTAGTAGGCTAACATTTGGATGAAAGTCAGTTCTTTCGAGATTGCCTGGATAGATCTCACGAAGGGATCGTATTCCGCGGTGTCCAGGCAATGGAACCGTTCGCCGAAGGAAAGGTCTCGAATGAGATCATATGCTATAGGTGTTCAGAATAGCTACATATTTTGCAGATAGTGTCTAACGTACCAGTGAAGGTGAACCAGTCTACCATGTTTTGCGGGCCATCGTTTGCTCGAGCGGCCAGTTGTTTCATGAGCTGGTCTACATACCCCTGGATGATGCCTTCTTGCTCACGCAGTGCTTTCTCGGAAAACGCATGCGATAGAAGTCGTCGTTGTCTCGTATGAGTCTGTCTGTCTGCCGTCAGGATATCTGTCTTCGTCAGTTTGGACTGAGGTGGTCACTGGATAAGGTTGTATACTTTGTACGCCAGTTGGCGTTCGCAGCGAAAAGACGGGATCTTTGCCCATCTCATCTGATCTGAGTCCGTAAATTGCTCTCCATGCTTCTTCCGAATTATAAGATAGTTCGTTTGGAGCCACTCGCACAATGCGGCCGTATCGTAGATGCAATTCAAGCAGCTTCTGGTTTAGCCGGCCATGCGCCTGGTACCAGCACCATGGTAGGCGTGTGGCAGCCCATAGCCTGGGGCCCGGGTATTGTCTCAGTGGATGCAGAAATGCATTATAGCATACGTGAAGAATGACCCATGCGAGCAGCTGTTGGCATCAGTAAAAGCCGCCTTCGAGCTAGTAGACTTACCGATGTAAGGGCAACTGCGCCCAGCCAAAACATAGAATCAGAACCCACGACCTGAATCAATGCCATTCTCTTGAACACATGGACACACTGTGATGATGTCTTGATAGCCAGGCAGAAAGACATGTGTATCGGCGAGACGAGATTCTGAAACATCCCAATTGAGTAACTCGTGGAATCCGTTACCTCCTATTCCAGCAAAAGCAAGTCCCGAAGTAAATGTAGTCAGCTGTGCAATCGGACCCGAGGCTCTGTGAGACCCTCCAACTAGTCAGCATTGCAATTCAGGCCATTATCAGACCAGGAGATGCGAGTGGCGTGTCTATCAACGTATGCTTTCTGGCGCAAGGGGGTGACGCCTCCAATGATCTAGACTGTCACTACATCGGACATACGAAATAAAAGGATATACGGGGAGGACTACTTGTATCCCTTAATGAGCTTTCCCTGTTTATTCATGCCAAATTAACGTTAATTAACCTTATGTGCTTTTATTGCACACTAATGTACAAAAGAAGTTAGAGTAATTCTGTTTCGCTGACGGCTATGATGCCAATTCAGCTTGAGTTTATCTTGTCCCAATACTGCACAGGATCTAAACTCAAATTAAATATGAAGAGATGACACCACACAATTGCTGTTATGCTTATTATTAGAAGGGATATGGCCGCGTAACTATGCAGCTTGTCGATTTGCTAAAGTATGGTTAGAGACGTCTTCCGTCGTACAGTAATCCTGACTGGTATATCGCCAGCAATTTCTCGTATACAGCAAATGTTGCAACCTTTCATGCACAAGCAAAAAGCATGAAGGATGGAATGTGGCTGACACATATGATAAATTCCAAAGCTAGATGAGATACAAGAATAGGCCCTTGCCTGATGGGTACTCCTATACCACCCCCGCTCCCTTCCTCTGCCACATCCATCACAGAACTATTGAACCACTGCACACAGACTCACGTCCAACATGACCGTCCCCAAGTCAAAGGAAGCACACGTCCTTATTATCGGCGCAGGTATCACAGGCCTTATCCTCGCACAGTCTCTCAAGAAGGTAGACTTGACCCCCACGTCGCCATGATCCTCTCAAACTCCCCTCTCTGGGTAACAGTAATCATCTAACCTGCCGCAGGCCGGCATCCGCTACTCCATCTTCGAAAAGGAGGTGTCTATGAACTACCGCAGCAATGAATGGACTATGGCTATCCACTGGTCCCTCGACCGTCTGCGCGACATCCTCCCCGCCGACCGTTTCGCACACATGGAGTCCGTCTCGTGCAACCCTGATGTTGCCCTGGACGCTGGCGGAAACTATCCCATCATTCATGGGGAAACAGGCCACCTGATTGCCGGTGTACCGTATGCCAAAGGACTGCGGGTTCCGCGCAGTAAGATGCGGGATCTGTGTAGCAAGGGGATTGAAGTCCAGTACGGAAAGAACCTGATCGATGTGGCGTTCACTGAAAGCCAAAAAGGAGTAGTTGCATTCTTTGATGATGGTTCCATGGTCTCTGGAACTATCCTTATCGGTGCGGATGGGCCTCGTTCGAAGGTCCGTGAGTTCGCAATGGGCTCGGCTGAGAAGGCGGCTGTTAGCCGCTTTCCCATCTTTCATACTAATATGACCGTTACCTACAACGATGCTGAGAAAGCTAGGTATGTAAGGCAGCGATTTCCGACGAGTTATCTGGCTTTGAGTGACAAGTCGTATCATGCGTTCCAATCCAGTAGGTATCCAGATTTTATTTGCGTCATTCTAGATTAGATACTGATTTCGTAAGTCTCGAGCATGCCTGATGGCCCCGATCATCCCGAATCATGGGTCTTTCACTTGGCTATGGCCTGGTTCATGGAACACGGTCAACCTGCTACTTACCGCGAGAGATTAGACATGATTCGCGAGAAAGCCCAAAGTCTGGCTGAGCCGGCTCGGTCCTCGTTCACTTGGATTCCAGATGATACGCAGGTCCATAAAGCTGATATCAGCTACTGGGTTACCCAGCCTTGGGATAATCGGCAGGGCAGATTGACATTGATCGGGGACGCAGCGCATCCGATGCCGCCGTGTAAGTTAGCTATACATTCACTACCAATATCGGTGTACTGATTATGGTATAATATGGGTGGTTAGACAGAGGGCAGGGACTCAATCACTGCATATGTGATACGTCTCACCTTTTGGCTGGCATTCAGAAGGTTGTAGCCGGTACGGCTACTCTGAAAGAGGCTATTACTGCGTACGAAGCGGAGATGATTCCCCGCGGTCGCGAAGAGGTCAAGTGCTCGGTCGAGAACGGGTACATGCTGCATGATTGGGATCAAGTCCGTGAGAGTCCTGTTTTCCGACAAGGGTTCCGGCCTATGAGTGGACACGATAGAGGGTCTGTGGATGGGCACGAGAAGATGCAACCAAAGGATATTGCAGCAAACTGAATGTGATGGTGGAGGCACATGCATCTGTTGTGCGAGCTATGAGATATTAGTCCTACATTTGAAAAGAATGTTGCTTACGTTGTGTCTAAAATGCTGCTTGTCAGTGCGGCATTGCGTCTACTACAACACAATGGTGCAGCCTTGATATATGCATCTCATATGATTGCAGAGTACCACACTGTGCTGCTGTTGCTAGCCACACTACGGATTTAGCCGACGAGCAGTAGCTTTCTGCATCAAATTTAGATACAGGTAGATACTTCCGAAGTCAGTACTAGTTGACTGACCCCATGGCTATGACCCCCGATTCAGGGCCGAAGCCCATTCGTCCAGAGCCCGTGAGCATTGCTATCCAACCAACTTGGGTACTTCGAAAAGCAGTACGTACAAGCCATGGTATGATGTCTATGGTGGAAGCATTCAACAACAGAAAAGACAGGGATATATCAGCAAAGCCATGTGCGCCATTTCCGGGAATGAAAACTTGGGTGTGCGAGCGCGTGTCTTGATGTCTGAACCAGCACGTAAGGCTGACAGTCTTTCCATAGTAAGATATCCATCAATCTGACGCCGTTAGGGCTAATTGGAAGGAATTGTTCTGATCATTATCACTGGCGGCGGCAAGTCTGACAGATCTGTACGACATCCGATCATCTGACAGGGATTCCGACCTCATGGTATCTGTATTCCCCGAACTGCGTATTCCACATCGAAGTCACGAAGTGTTCCGGACACCGAACGTTCTCCAGCTCCACATGCTATGTCTTGTGCTCCGAGAAAGCATGCTGAGTTGCCTCGGAGACCGAGTGCTATCCTCCGACTCTTCGTGAAATGCCCTTAAGTTGGCGATGCTCAAGTTTACTAAAATGTAAATTCGACGCTCTATGCTTTTCAGCCTATCGCAATTTATCGATACGGTGCTTAGGATGGCCTCTGAACGCCTCTACGCTTTGACAATCTATGGCTATCGCAAGCCAGGTATGCCTGAAGATGAATACCATCGCTACCTGAGTGAGCACCATGCCGTTCTGGTGAGGAATCATCTCGTGAAGATGGGTATTGTCAGATACACTCTGGTAGGTTGGATGTGCCTTATGGAAGGGAGAAGCTGCTGACGTTGCTAGACGCACAACACATCCGAGACAAAGGAGATGATGAAGCGTATCTTTGGAGACCTTCCAGAGGGACATACCTCTGATTGTGACTGCTTGGCCCAGATTATGTTTCGTGATGTGGAGGATTATGTCCGCGCTCGGAATGACCCCCACTATAAGGAGGTTATCTTTCCCGATCATGCCAACTTTGCCGACTCAAGTAGAACACTATTTGTGACTGGTTGGGTGGAGTGCCATATTGTGGATGGAGGGATAGTCTAAAGGCACAGGATCTAGCGCGATAGTGGCGAATGCTCAAGGAAAGTGCTACTATGACCGATATTTAAAATCGGGCAGCTGGAACCCTCTGATGCAGACTGCGGTTGGCCGTAGACTAGGTGCAATCCAAGTATTGCCTTTCTTGAGGTACTTTTTTAGCTCTGCAAATGTCATTTGATATTAAGTGTAACTACCCCAAGGAATCATGATATTATGATCTTTGGGCTTGTCGCTCTCTCAGATATTGCATGTGGCGACTGATCAAATAAGTGTGACAATGAAGCAGCCACGGAACATGACCATTGCAGTATTCTTCAGCTGTGCAACACATGTACATCAGTTTTGTCTGCCCACTCTTCTAAGTATGGCCATGGCACGAGGAGAATACGTACCAACTTCGCGTTTCTCAAGAACCCTCCGAGCGTTGACCCGTATCTGCGGCGTCAGCGATGCCCCTCAAGCGAAAGATCATGGGCCAAGGCCGGACTAGAAGCACATGTTTGAACATCATTCGATCATTACTTGGGCATCAGATGCCGGGATATAGATCTTTCTAGGTCACTATTCTCCACAATGTCAGCAGTACTCGGGACCCAACCCTGTCTCCTCGTGTTATGCTAGGATACCAGCTCCCTGGTTCCGGATGGACAGGCTTTCGATTATTATGAATACATTACATCTCCAGATGCCTGTCAGCTCATGGAAGGAAGAATTTCACACCCTCTGATAGGAATAGCTTCCAATTGTATGAACATGGTCATTCGGACAATGCCGGAAGAATCGAACACAAAAACGAATACCTCAGCAACTAGCAAGATGGAGACAGTCGCCGAGGTATTCCTCTTCGGTGATCAAACGGTAGTGTTTGAGTCGACGCTACACTCGTTGTTGCATGTCAAGGACAATGCAGTTCTAACCGACTTCTTTGATCGGGTTGGGTTCCAGTTGCGGCGACATGTTGGGAATCTCCCTTTGCATCAGCAGGAATGGTTCCCTTACTTTACTACCCTCATTGATTTGCTTGCCCAGCACGAAAATTGCTATGCGGCTCCGGCATTAAAGTTGCCCCTGCTATGTGCGACCGAGCTTGGCCAGTTTATTAGGTGAGCTATCAACGTTTTGTTTCCACATGTTGATGAATGCATGATTCTAAAGCCTACGCAGGCACTATGGACAAGCAGGGAGAACATATCCTGCACCAGAAAGTACCTTCCTAATAGGGGCCTGCACGGGAGCCTTTGCTGCTGCAGCAGTTGCAACTTCCCTAACCTTAGCAGAGCTTGTCCCTGCTGCGGTTGAAGCCGTCACCGTTGCGTTCCGGACGGCGCTGCGATCACTGATCCTACGAAGTGATCTTGTACCCACCGTAGAAGAAACTCCGGAACCATGGTCTGCTATTGTAGGTGTCAGTGAGACTGAAGCAACAAGTGCGATTCAGGGCTTTAACGCCGAGAAGGTGAGTCACGTCCGCAACCAAGGAGAATCCGCAGCTGACAATCACAGGGGTTGCCTCCCGTATATCGTCTATACCTCAGCTCAGTCAGTCGAACAAATGTTTCGATCAGTGGTCCTCCACATCTTCTGGGCCAGTTCCTTTCGTCCTACGCCTGGAAGCACTCGTTCCTTCCGATTGAGCTGCCGTACCACGCGTCGCATCTTTTCCGGAAGGCCGATGCGGATGTTATCGTGGATGATATCCACGACTCCTCACTGCTAAAGTACACGCTGCGAACAAAAGTTATTTCCGCTGTTTCCGGTGAAATTATCACAGCGTCTGACCTGCGCAGTCTGCTGCTTCGAGCGGTTCAGGAAGCCCTCTGTGAGCCCCTCCAGTGGAATCGCATAACTGCATCTCTTTCTCGGGAGTTAAAGCAGGGCCAATTCACCGACTGTGTAATAAATCAAGTTTCATCACGAAGCGGAACGCTTCTCAGCTCAGCTCTATCACAAGAAGCGTTTCTCCAAGTTAAAATCGTGCAATCCATAGGGGATGCCTCTGTACACTCTGCTCTCTCGAGCCCAACAGGCAAATTTTCGCAATCAAGCATTGCCATTATCGGCTTCTCTGGGCGCTTCCCCGAATCTGGCTCTAATGAAGAATTTTGGGAGATGCTTTTGGCGGGCCGAGATGTACATCGGATTATCCCCGAGGATCGGTTCGACTGGAAGGCCCACTACGATCCCACTGGCAAGACCAAGAACACCAGTCGCGTCAAATATGGTTGCTTTATCAAGGAACCTGGAATGTTCGATGCTCGCTTCTTCAATATGTCTCCCCGGGAGGCCGAGAACGCAGATCCGGCACAGCGATTGGCCATCACTACAGCATATGAGGCAATGGAAATGGCGGGACTGGTGCCAAACACGACACCATCCACCCAGGGAGATCGCATCGGGGTGTTTTACGGGGTGACGAGTGATGACTGGCGCGAAGTGAATAGCGGGCAGAATGTGGATACGTACTTTATCCCGGGGGGAAATCGCGCATTCATTCCGGGAAGGATCAGGTATGGCTTTCCACCGATGGCTGGAGTACTAGTATGCTGACAGTTCAGCTATTTCTTCCGATTCTGTGGCCCCAGCCTGAGTATCGACACAGCATGCTCATCCAGCTGCGCGGCGATTCAAACGGCGTGTGCCTACCTATGGCGAGGTGAATGCGACACAGCCCTGGCTGGAGGCGTGAATGTATTGACGAACCCTGATAACTTCTGTGGACTAGATAGGGGGCATTTCCTGACCGCTAAAGGTTGGTCTGACCTTGTTTATGTGGGAATTCTAGACTGATGAGACAGGCAATTGCAATGCTTTCGATGATGAAGCAGATGGATACTGCCGATCGGACGCCGTTGGGACCGTTATTCTCAAACGCCTAGAGGACGCCCTCGAGGATAACGATCCCATATTTGGGGTCATCCGTGGCGCATACACCAACCATTGTGGTCGGACAGACTCCATCACTCGACCCTTTGAAGGCGATCAGGCGACTGTATTCAACCGAATTATGCGCTATGCTGGAGTTAACCCCCAAGACGTGGGTTACGTCGAAATGCACGGCACTGGAACCCAGGCCGGGGATGCCACGGAGATGAAGTCAGTGCTGTCTGTATTTGCGCCTAATATGCGCAGGCAAAATGCTCTGTACTTGGGAACAGCAAAAGCTAATATGGGCCATGCCGAGTCTGCTTCGGGTGTTTCGTCTTTGATCAAGGTCCTATTGATGATGCGGAACGATACGATCCCACCGCATTGTGGTATCAAGACCCGGATAAATCATACCTATCCAATTGACCTGGCACAGCGAAACGTGCATATTCCATTCAAACCTACACCTTGGCTTCGTGAACAGATGCCCCAACTCAAGCGGACAGTATTCTTGAATAATTTCAGTGCAGCCGGAGGCAATACTGCCATGCTACTCGAAGATGCCCCAGTTCGAAAAAGTAATAAGGCCGCGGACCCTCGCTCCAAGCACGTAGTGACAGTGACAGCGAAAACGATCAAATCCCTCAGGGGGAATATCAGCTCTCTTATGGCATACTTGGAGCAACATCCGAGTATATCCTTGTCATCTTTATCCTACACCACCACTGCCCGACGTATCCACCATAGCTATAGGGTCATAGTGTCAGGTTCTGACACCGGGGAATTTATACACCGGATGCAAGAGATCTTGCCTGGCTTGGAGAGCCACAGGCCAGTCCCTCCACCGGGAAAGCTGCCAAACATCGTTATGACGTTCAGCGGACAGGGCACCCTCTCGGTCGGCATGGGAAAGCAGTTCTACGACACGGTGCCCTCGTTTAGGGAGGACGTTACGCGATTCGACGACATCGCGAGCCAAATGGGCTTTCCAAGCTTCTTGCCTCTTATTGATGGTAGCATGGTTAACCATCAGGAAGCAAACCCCACCGTAGCCCACCTGGCCCTGGTCTGCGTTCAGATGGCACTATACAACTACTGGAGGTCTCTAGGGGTTGTTCCATCGGCAACTATTGGTCACAGCCTCGGCGAATACCCGGCGCTGTATGCTGCTGGTGTCCTTACAGCCTCGAGTGTAATATATGTGGTGGGCGCTCGGGCTGCCTTGCTATCAGAAAAGACTACCCCACGGACCCATGCTATGTTGGCAGTAAAAGGGTCCGTAGAGTCTATACAGGGCGAGTTACATAACAGGGGGTGCGCTTTGGCTTGCCTGAACCAACCTTTCAGCAATGTTGTGAGCGGAACGGTTGGAGAGTTAATATTGTTGAAGGATTGGCTCACATCTCAGGGCATCGGGAGTGTCCAACTGGACATACCGTATGCCTTTCACTCCGTACAAGTGGATCCAATTCTAAACGACTTTAAGACGATCTCTGCGGGGGTTGAATACTACGTATCCTCTATTCCTTACATCTCTCCTCTTCTTAGTAGGGTCATCCCTGCCGGCGAGCCAGATGTTCTTAATGCTTCCTATTTGAGAAACGCATGTCGTGAGCCAGTCAACTTTCAGGGTGCTGTTGTATCAGCAGAGGAGACTGGTCTAGTTAACGAGAAAACCATATGGTTGGATATCGGCTCGCATCCAGCTTGCTCAGGCATGATCAAGGGCATATTGGGCACAAAAAGCACCACGATCGCATCGCTTCGAAAAGGGTCAGATTCATGGGCTGTGCTAACCGCAAGCCTGGAGGTTCTGTACTCCCATGGCATCGATATCCAGTGGGTTGAGTATCATCGCGGGGTGATTGGTTCTCGGGAGGTACTCCAATTGCCACGGTATGGTTGGGATCTGAAAAACTACTGGATTCCATACAGGAACAACTTCTGTCTCTTGAAGGGTGAAGGCCTCATTCCTGCGGAACAGCAAGTAGTGTTGCCACATATGGAGGCTCCACGTATTCCCAAGTATATTTCTCCGTCTGTCCAGAGAATTCTCGAGCAAAACGACAGCCCAGAAATGTCAACTCTTTCGGCCGAGTCAGATATTCACGACGCAAGACTGGCGCCAATACTGGCAGGTCACGTCGTGAATGGCGCAATGTTATGTCCATCGGTAAGTAGCTGAATGGCGTTATGTGGTGATATGCTGACAAGGTCCAGTCTCTCTACGCCGATATTGGCATAACAATCTCAAAGCACATGTTGCAAGCAATTGGAAAATACACCGCGGCAGTCGGATTGGACGTCGCCGACATGCAGGTGCAGAACCCATTGGTTTCCCGGCCTGACACCGAATCGCAGCTCTTCCGTGTGTCTGCGTCGGCGGACTGGAGAATCAATGAGATTGCCTTCCGGCTGTATAGTGTCAACCGCACCGGTAGAAAGACTGCCGAGCACGCTGCATTTGTCGTACATATTACCGACCAGGTGCAGACCTGGCTGTCTGAATGGAAGCGGCATGCATATTTAGTGCGAAGTCGGATTGCTTCTCTACATCGGAGCGCGGAAGAAGGCGACGCACACAAACTCAAGCGACGCTTAGCATACCAGTTGTTCGCCACTCTTGTGCAATATGAAAAAAGCTACCAGGGAATGCAGGAGGTGGTTCTAGACAGCGATAATCATGAAGCTACTGCCAAGGTGTCTTTTCAAATTGACGAAGACGGCTTCGTGTTCAATCCGTGCTGGATAGACAGTCTTGGGCATATTGCCGGATTCATCATGAATGCCAGCGATGCCAGTCCTTCTAAAGAGCAGGTCTTTATCAACCATGGCTGGGAGCGCATGCGATGCGCCGTGCGATTTGTCAACGGCAAGCAGTACCAAGTGTATAACCGCATGCAGCTGGAGACTGGGACGACCTACGTGGGTGATACATACATCTTTGAGGGCGAGACCGTTGTTGCAGTGTTTCAAGGGATCCGAGTATGTAAACAGCTTACTGTAAGAGCGTGTATATGGCTAATGTTTGTAGTTCCAAGGGGTCCCTCGACGACTTCTTGACCGACTGCTGCCTCCTAAGATCCCATTTTCTGGCCCCTCTGAGAGGACACAAGAAGTGCGACCAACAACAGCGCCGATCAATCATCAACCGGTGTGCCGGAGAGCTGGTCCAAAATCTGTACCCCTAGTTCCCGCTCCGAAGCCCAAGGAGCCAATGGGTTCGTCGAGTGGTATCGCAGCGCGCGTCATGGCCATAATCGCCAAGGAAGCAGGCGTCGATCCATCAGCCTTGGGACCTAATGAAGAATTCGCCAATTACGGAATTGACTCTCTGCTGTCGCTGACCATCTGCGGTCAGATTCAAGAGGAGCTGGACGTTGATGTTCCGTCTTCGTTGTTCGTAGACTATCCCACTCCCAAGGATCTGATCGGCTTCTTTGGCGTTGAAGATGACTCTTCTCAGCTCACGTCTTCCTTGGAGGGGAGTACTGAGGATGACACATCAAGCTATGAGACTGTTGCAACATCAGAGCACGATTCGGAAGTGCCTGTATTGGAGATTCTTCGGACCACGATTGCCCGGGAAGCGGGCGTACCAACCAATGAGCTGACGCCCTCCACGGCGTTCTCTGATATCGGGGTGGACTCATTGCTTGCCCTTACCATTGTGAGCACAATAGCAGAGACATACGACATAGCTCTTCCTTCTAATATTTTGATGGAGAAGGAGAACCTGGAAGAGGTTGGAAAGGCACTTGGTCTGGAAATTAGCCCGAAGACTTCCCTACAGCATACAATGCTCTCTAGGCCTGCCTTCGATCCATCTGCTGGTCCACAAGCCACATCCATCTTGCTGTGGGGTAAGCCCAAGTCAGCCAAAAAGGTACTATTTCTCTTCCCCGATGGATCAGGGTCAGCCACGTCTTACTCCGCTCTTCCCAAGCTTGGCAACGACACGGCTGCGTTCGGGCTGAACTGCCCATGGATGAAGACACCGGAGCAGATGACAGTCACCCTTGAGGAATTGACAGCAAAGTATCTTCTGGAAGTGCGTCGACGCCAGCCAAACGGTCCGTACTACCTGGGCGGCTGGTCCGCCGGAGGGATTTGCGCTTACGAAGCTGCGCGCCAGCTCGCGCAAGACGGTCAGACTACGGCCAAGCTCATCCTTATCGACTCACCCAATCCGATCGGTATGGAAAATCCTCCCGAGAGGATGTATGATTTCTTCCAGAGAATCGGTCTCTTTGGGACTAGTGGCAAGCCGCCTCCACGTTGGCTAATCCCACACTTCAATGCTTTTATTCGGTTGCTGGACGCATATCGTATCCAAGCACTGGAAACGTCAATTGAGACTCACATTGTCTATGCACGCGACGGAATCTGCAAGAATGCTAGCAGCCCTCGGCCGGAGCGACGGCCAGATGACCCGCGTGAGATGGTCTGGCTTATTGAGAATCGGACGGACTTTAGTGGGGATGGGTGGGCATCGCTGTTGGGAAGGGACAACCTCCAGATTGAGGTCCTAAATGAGGTCAATCATTTCTCGATGATGGATCCGGGTGAGCACATGGAGGCGTTCGAGCGGTTCCTTCGCCGGGCTTTGTTGTAGCAATCTTCTTCTTGAACCTCATAGGAGTAGATAGGCATGGATAATGCTGACGGAATACCCTCGGTGTTGTCATAATATCCGGTGACCTTCTGAATCGAACTTCCCTTTGTCGCACTGCATACGTTAAGCTGGTTTCACCCCTGTCGCTGACTTGGCATGGGCCGATAGCACGACGACCGCCAATGAAGTCGGACGTCCTTGCGTACAGGCAGGGGCACGGATCCAATCTGGTGAGTTCCTTCGGATGCCGAGAGCGCGCAAGCCCTGCCCAGGATGCCAATTCTGCCCTGCGCTGTGTAACTAGGTCTTATAGTATAAAGCCGGTAGCTACTTACACTTCCACTGTTCATAATACATTATCATCTGCGGAGAATTATCATCAGTCACACGAAAACATGTCTCTCACCGACCTCGCAGCTCGAATCACCGCCAACGCCCAACTCCTTGATGCCCACCTCAAGTCCCACAACCTACCATCTCCGTCAACATCTATCCACACCTGTCCTGACTTTCCCAACCCGAACAACGACCCGGCCGTGGAATCAGCCCGCATAGCTCTTCTCGAAGACACCCAGACCCTGCGCAACTACGCTCTCGGTCCAGCGCAGGTCATCCGCGAACTATGCTGGAATGTGCGCTATCATTTCCTTTCCCCCAAACAGATCTCTAGTACAGACAAATATTAACGACATAAATAATAGACGATAGACCTAGCAGTCCAACAAGTCCTATACCACTTCTCCATCCCAACCCTAATCCCCTTGAAATCCAGCACCAGCTACACCACCTTATCCTCCCAAACTAACTCCCAGAACGCACCCTCCGGCTTCTCCTCCGCCAATCTTTTCTAAATGGTATCTTTTACGAGCCCGAACCGGATCGTGTCGCGCATACGGCGTCTTCAGCCGCTCTTGTCACAAATGCGCCCTTCTATGATTGGTTCGGGCATTCAGTGGAGGAGGTGTTTCCTGCTAGTGCGAAGCTTGCGGAGGCTTTGGAGAGATGTAGTCAGGGTGGAATAGGGGATTTGAGGGCGGAAGATAGTGCGTTTAGTTTGGCTGTTGGTGGTGGGGAAAGTGTGTTTGAATTCTTTGAAAAGAGGCCTGATAAGCAGAGACGGTTTCGAGGGGCGATGGAGGCGGTGGGTATGGATGGGGGTCATGATTTGGGGTTTGTGGTTGGGGGGTTTGACTGGGGTAAGGTGGGGAGGGGGGTCGTTGTTGATGTAGGTCATTTCTCTTCCTTTTCGTTTTCTTCTTTGGAGTATCAGATTAAAGAAACTAATGGGGATTATATTGCATATAGGTAGGAGGATCTTCCGGCTTTCTGAGCATTGCTCTTGCGAATGCATACGAGAACCTCTCTTTCGTGGTGCAGGATTACAAACATACTGCTGATGAAGGGCGTGCGGCACTACCCTCTCATCTGAGTGAACGGGTGTCCTTTCAGGCGCATGACTTCTTCGCTCCGCAGACTGTGACCGGCGATGTGTATCTTCTTCGTCATGTCTGTCATAATTGGTCTGATGAGAATGCGGCGCGGATCTTACGGAATCTGGTCCCTGCTATGAAGAGTAGTAGTAGGATTTTGCTGGTTGAGGTTGTGACTGTTCGCCCAGGGGTTGTGAATAGGGTGCAGGAGAAATATATGCGGTGAGTTTCGTACTTGGCTGCTGGTTTTGTTAGGGGTGGTATGCTGACTGGAACAGGAATGTCGATGTCACCATGTTGCAGATGCTGAATACCCAGGAGCGGAGTAAGGAGGATTGGGAGAGTGTAGTTACCTTGGCGGATAAGAGGTTGAAGGTTCTGGAGATTCATCGACCTGAGGGAAGTTGGGATTCGATTATTGAGATTGGGTTGGTGGTTATGAATGGACATGATTAGGTGCATTGGATGGCGGGCTTGTTTTTACATTTACGTCTATCATAATGATTCAGTATTGTTTCTGATGAAGTTGGCCTGCGCCATATTCTGAGATTATCGAATGTAATTGCCAGAGTACATAGGGAAATGACCCCGAAGGAAACGCCATATTCATTCCAGCACCTTCAGTCAGCCATCCCATTCTCTGTTCCATATACTATCAGTCTACCTACTCAAGGTCAAGTGGAATTTTTCTCAAGTACTCCTCCAACGTGGTCAAGTCCCCCCTGCCTGCTCCGCCGACCATTTCACCTTCTCCTCCGTCCCATCCCCATAATACCCATAGACCCTAAAAAGCGTAAACATATCCACAATATAACCCCTCATCAGCTCCGGCAGATACGTCGCCCAAATCTCCACCGGCACTTCACGATACGTCACCGTCTTCCCTGACACGCGGCTCATAGTCTGCACAATTTCCTCAAAGCTATACAGCGCCGTAGCACAGCAAAGTACCTCTCCCTCATACTGATCAAAATCCGCCAGAATGGCAGCTACCCACTTCCCCAAATCAGCCTCCGTCTCAATCAACGGCAGCCTTATATGAGCCGGAACAGGCAAAAGCAAGGCGTAGTCGCCATTCTCCATGCGTCTTGGAGCCATTGTATCATGGAAATTCGACATGAATGAGCCCGGCGCGACAAAGGCGCTTCGAATCGGCTGCGTACGGATGTACTGCTCGACTTCCTCTTTACCGTCGAAATGGCCGCCATTTTTTAGCCATCCTTGGGATATTTTTGAGATGCTAGGCAGCGTGGAGTAGATGTAGAAGGGCACACCCACTGCGACCGCGGCGTCGATTAGGGAGCGACCGTGCGCGACTTCGTGCTCGTAGGTGTGGCCGTCGTAGATGGTTGGGGTGTTTGCGAATACTGTGTGTGCGCCTGTAAAGGCGCGTTGAAGGGTTTCGGGCTCATTGAAGTTGGCTGCAACGATTTCGATACCTTTGGCTGCTAGTGCTTGTGCTTTTGAACTGTTGGGGTCGCGTGTTGTGCCTCGGATGGTATACTCCTGGCTGATTTTGGGGTCGGAGAGGATAAAGTTGATGATGGAGCTGCCCTGTTGGCCGGTGGCGCCTACTACCACTAGGATCTTGGACATTGTGGTTAAGATGATCTGGTCCGGTTTGATTCTGCCGTTTCTGGAAATAGTCGTTGCAAGGTGGTGGCGCGCGAGTCCTTGCCATTTGTAGGGGACAAAGGAGTCAGTCGTTCGTATTATTCCTGCTGCGCAGACACGGAAACCGAGCAGCGAGACTCTGCATCTCGGAACAAAGAACGGAGTCCGAAGATAGTCAGTGGGCGATATTCATCCTTGTTCACTGTGGATCCTCGGATTTGCTCTTAAGTCCGGCCGCTGGTGTCATGATGATCTTGGCTCCGGTTTCTTGATATTCCCCGAAAGCATAATCATTTCTTTCTACGGCTTCCATTGCTGTCAATTGACTTTGGCTGTCCTCGGTTCGCTTGCGACAGTTACATTTGGGCAGTCATCTGGAAATCTGGGGATACCGTTATAATAAGCAGATTCTCTTGATTTGCTTCTTCGGACTTAGGGAATGCTGTCGGTAATTATTTGTGACAAACCAAGTATCACGCGTAAAGGGATATGCTGGGTAATTAACGAGTGTGGCACCGCCATCCATACGAGCGGCCACGGAGATGGCGCAAAAGGTGGTCAAAGGACTATCACGATTCGGGATCTGAAACGTGGCACGTCAGGTAGTTGACTTCAATGCTGGGGTTTTGAGGATGCCATTCAATAAAGACGCTGCCGTTCGCACCCAAGTGAAAATCCTTGCAGAAAGCTCGTATTGCATCAAGTCGACACACGTCATGTCCTGAACTCAACACTGCGTGGTCAAGCGACGCTGAGGGAGGGGAGGCTTGAGTCTACTTCAGTATGGTTGTCCTGCTTTCTGAAGAACACACTATACTTTCCAGACGCCTGTACGTTTACTGTGTCTTCAAATGACTTGTGGTAGGATTTGCTTCACTGTAAGCTCTTACAACATGGAGGCCAGACTCGTCTCGTAGTGTCAAACACTCATTATATTATAGTAGTATCTACTATCGGAATATATTACTAACCCAAGACCAAGCCTGGGTGGATAGTATATAGTGTATCTCACAAACGTGGGAACTCTTGGTGATGGGGAGAAAGTGATGAGCTTGATAATATATGGTAAGCTTTCGCGAAGCACCGTGAGAGCTACAAACTCATACATGTCAGTATGCCCAGCGATATTATTCTTCATATTCGAAGTAGATGGATTTGGTAGTTGTGCTTCGGGCAACTAACCATCCTCTTGTCATTAAGAGTGATATGTAGAGTGAGTCTCATCGGCTTCAGCACAATAATGGGAGCTACTTCGACCGTTCCGCATTGGCCTATCATTTAGTGCCTTTTCCGCCCGACAAAGCATGAAACCAGTATGCAAATGGATATGCGCGAAATCAGAGCCAGACTAGACTGTCCATGTAAAAGCGGCCAAGCCTTTCACATGCCTTGAATACATCGAGTGGCCTGCAAGTCCAAAGGAAGAATTGCGGAATGACAAATCAACCGCTGTAACAAGCCTATATTTATCGCAGTCCATCTGTCAGTCATGGATTGGTGGGCAATAATCTGACGTCAGTTTCCGTGATTGTGTTGTTGACTCGACCAGTAAGCTGCGGGTGCTCAAAATTTCCCGAGCAGGCGGGCTTCCAAGTCTTTTTTCGGTTGTCATATGAAGCACATATATTATTTGTGGAATTGTGGAGTGCGCCTGCTGTGATCCTCCGGCGTGGCTGCGAGGCTTACAGCATGCGTAACATGAGCGCCTGTCATCCCGCCCCGTTAAGGCTTTATGGGGGTTGTCTCTCTTGTATTACTCCAGTGTGTTATCAATCGTTCTCCATAAGGAGTGGGTTTGTTCTGCCGCTGGCAATTACTTTTCTGCTTTGCCCTCAGGCGGGTTAAAGACCGATAGGGAACCAGGTGCTAGTCAACGGTGTGGTGTGCACCCATAGGCAGTGGACCAAAATAGATGGCGTGAAAGGCCCTATAACCAGGTGTAGGGAAATTAACATCCACTACATTGAATTGATTGTGCACTACAGGTGTAGTCGGTCTAGGTCGTGATCTATTTGGATTTCCCTACCATTAGATGGAATGGGGTCCCCGTTAGTGTAGTCATTGTAAACCTGGCCTAGCACCTTCTTAAAGGATTTCATCCACTATAGGTCTCCCGTAGGGGTAAAGGCAGATTGAATAGTTGCGGAAATGTGCAGGTGACAGGGAATGCCCCGCCTCGCCCCTTTTCCATCGTTGCCGACGCAGTCGAATGGATTGTCCGCGTGATATATCGATAGGCGCATTCACAACCGAGAGACTTTGCGCTAGCATGGCTATCTGCAAGTCTGATAGGGCGCTTATCTAAGGTTCTTGACGTTATCATCGTCGCTGCTATGCGTATCTTTATTATGCGTTCGTAGCAACTTTTAGCTCCTACCGTTCGTGTAGCAGGTTCTGGTCCAGATTTGCTGGTGCCAACGTATAGACCAGCCACACGGTGTATCCCAGCCGGATGTTACGCATACCTTCTGGACATTTCCTTTTCAGAAGGAGACTGCTGGATGACTGTCCCTGACATTAGTAGGATGCCTGTGTCCCTTTCTGACCCTGACCCACGTGGTTGTTATTTGAATGGCTCGTCATCCTTGCAGCACATCCGCCCAGATGGCAATCCGACCAGGGTTACTGACAAATTATGGAGTGATAGAGAGTTGGTCTGTTCATCACAAGGATGAGCTTAGCCATGGTGATAGAGACAGTCCAGGAAGCATGGGTGCCTCGGGTCCGACTGGCTATCTCGGACCGCTCCCCTCTGAATGCAGATACGGTCGCAAATCAGATACACCAAATGAGTCCATGGCGATATCCGGGGCTCGTGAAGCTTCGACCACCGCGAATGACGTAGGCGTCATGAAGCAGATGCATTGCAGAGGGTTCGGTTTGGAATCGCGATATTGAGGAACTGGTGGGGTAAGGAGAAGCCCTGGCTTCCTCTATCTGGGGCTCATTGGATGACTTTGTAGAGTGGTGTTAGCACTGGTCTCAGTATGATCCGACCCGAGATTGCTTTCCATCCTACAGGGCCATTGAATTAGCATATTACTGGTAGAGAAAGACTTCATGGTGGAGGGGGGATATTAGAAGAAGAGAAAAAGAAGGCCAGCAGATGGCGGGTCGGGCCGGAGTCCGTCTTCTTTTCCTCTCCACCGCGTGATCGGATCCTTTCCTGCCTTCCTTTTGCCCTCCTTTTTGCCTTTTGCCTTTTGCCTTCCCCATCCTTCATCCCAACTTCGTTCGCGACAGCCACACTCCTATCTTCCACCAACGCGAACCCTGCTGGTCAAGGCGCGCACGGTCATCCATCAACTCTAGCCCCCCCCCCCCAACAACATGCAGTTCAGATAGCTGGTATCTTTACTAGGTAAACAGCCAATCCCATCCTCTCCAGGGAACATAGCCGCTCAACTCAGTCATCCATGTTGGAGGGAAGTCAGGCTGATGTCATTTAGCCGACAATACACTTGATAGATGGCTCCGATAGATCCGTTCAGAGGATTACTGCCTGGGTGGGGGGGCTTGACGGTCGCATCCCCCGTCAGACTGATGAGCAATCCCCCGATGCGGCAGAGCCTCATCTGAACGTTCTTGCATGTGAAATGGAGGTAATTCAGGTTGAATGGTGCCGTCCGCATGTAAGATTCTGGCCTTGCTCTTTTCCCAGGACGGCAAGGCAGCGCGAGGAATTCTGGCTGAGCCTCGAGATGACGCCGCGAGGGGCTGCCACCCTCCCCCTCCATCGCAATTAATCAGCCGCGTTACTCGTGCGCTATCTGCGACAAAGTTTGACTAGTATGCTCGAGTGCACGCGGTTCCAGATAGCGTAGCCTATGTTGCGTTCCGGAGAAACTTGACTTCGGGTCGCTAACAGCATCCTTCAACCTTATTGGCTGTCAGCTCACGCTCGAGGGTGCGTAGATTCAATAATGTCTTTGTTCGGCCTGGAGGACAGCGAACAGCCCTATCCCACACCCGGGTCTTGCCACGATGGGTAGGACCTGATCAAGTCGCTGATCTAATAAACTGCCTGTGGTCGTTGATCAGCGCGTGCCAGTGTCGATCGATCGCATCCAGCTGGTCTATTCGATCCGGTTTGTAGAGAGTAGACAGGTGTGATGGGACACGAAGAACGGTGCCCTTCAGCCAGCCCAGTTCTGCTAATCTGAAGACTTTTGGTGGCGAATTCGGCGTAACCATCTCCGATGATAGCATCGTTGGCTTGGAGAGACGGTCGGTTGTAGCCGCCAGCCATGCATCCTCAGATTTGAGAAAGAGGCCATGACAGAGCCGTTGTTGGGAACGGGGCGATGATGGTTCAGGGATTACGCAGCGGATGTGACTGGGACCTGCAGCAGAGGCCGTGCAAGGGAAACTTCCTGATCTGCTGTGAAGGTGGCTTGCAGCGACCTGACTGGGGGGAAAGAAGGGGACAGGGTAGTACGAACCATGGGGCGTGAACAGGCCGTTCGTGTTAGCTTGAGGCTGACGGACGAGAGTTCATCTGACAGCATCATGGGGGGGTTGATCAGAGCGTCTAATGCTTGCTAGTGGCTCTCGACTAGAACGCCCGTCTGGCCTGTAGGGCACCACTCACTAGCCATCACATCTCCAGCAATGGCCTGTTCAGGCACCGCTCGGCGCCAGCTCTGTCCTTCACTTCCTCTAGGCCGAGAGCTGTATCTCAGGAATAGTCCTTCACCTGGGCTCCGTTCATCATGTTTCCGTTTTTGAGCAGACAAAAGCTGATGTTGGACAGGGTCTCTAGATAGTAACTTGGCATGTTCCATCTCTGTCTATCTCCACCCCTTCTCGTCACCCTCAAACATTTGTACCTCTTTGCCTATATAACTCTCGTAATTCCCATCACTTCCTCTACACAAGATATCCTTGACTATTGAACATCATTATTCTATCATCCAGACTCCCTCAGCCAGAC